ATTGAATCAAATTCCAAGTGTTTAGGAAGCCTGGAAATAAGGCACCTGTCACAGACAATGTCAGGCACAGATTCAGGCTTTGTCAGGCACTAAACCTCTAGTGCCTGTCATTTTGTCCAGCACTAAGTTAAAAATGTTAGATACGATTTCATTAATGATTGCCTGTCATTTTGTCAGGTACATCTAAAATCGATATTTCCAGGCCTGCATGTAAACCCTCTTTACACTAGAAAGCTAATATGTTCTGCTCCAAACTGGGCTAATGAAGACAGGCATACGCCATACAGTGTGCTATGAGGGAAATTTTGCCCAGACAGTAGCAATACAGCCTACTCTTATATCGAATTCCAACTATCAAGGGATCTTTTATGTGCACACCAATGTGTACAAGGGACCTTGTTTTTTTTTGTCCCATCCGAACGACTAGACAGCTGTCCTTGCCAGGCCCTCCGTCCTGCATCACTGACAAGGGGGAACTACGCCGGAAAATCTGGATGCACTTTCTCGGCCAATGCAGGGATCGAACACCCGACGTCCAGGCTAGCAAGCCAGCGTCTTACCCACTGAATGAAAATCTGTTTATATATGTTACAGTCAATTTGTGTAACCAGTCATTTCATGTAATGACTAAACGAATCAGTCATTACGTGAAATGCCTGTGAGCATCAGGCAATACGTGCAATGACTAAAAATTCCAGTCAATACACGAAATGACTAAAAATCATGGTCGGGGATTACGCGAAATGACTGAAGTGCTGTTAAACCTATAAAAATACACTGTAAACCATTTTTTGACGTCAAATCAAACGTTAAATCATACATTGCAGAAAAATATGCATATAGTTGTCAAATCTCATTTTATTTCAAAAATTCTGACTGGTTCATCTCTAAAGTCGCATGTTTTTGCATAACATACTGCTTTGACAGCGGTTGAAGCATTTTGATTTTGATATTGTTTTTGAAACATTTGCATCTATTCGTCACCTGAAACCTGCATCATTGATAACCAGTGTAAGTTTCTATTCTAGAGGGTTGGGCATTGGGGGAGCTATTCCAATTTCTATAGGATGAAATTCTATAGTGTTCTACTTAATTTTGGGGGTCTGTAGGAAATAATGACCAGAAATATTATGTAGTGCAAATCTCATAATTTTTCCTACAGATTTAAGCTATAGTATTTTCTGTAGTAAATTCTATAGTTGTCTGTTTGTCTTTAATCAAGTTTTGTGAACAGACTGCACAGTTACTGAGTTAGTTGACTCACTGTCTTCAGTTTCTTGTAAATACTAACTTCTATGAACATGTACATTGAATTTGATTGGCCGAGAAAGTTCATCCAGATTTTCCGGCGTGATTCTCCCTTGTCAGTGATGCAGGACGGAGGGGCTGACAAGGAAAGCTGTCTAGTCGTTCGGATGGGACGAAAAAGCGAGGTCCCGTGTACACATTGGTGTGCATGTAAAAGATCCCTTGGCAGTTGGAATTTGATATAAGAGTAGGCCGTAGTGCCGCTGTCCGGGCAAAATTTCCCTCATAGCACATTAAAATTCAGCCATGAACAAACAGTCTTCTCTTGGATTAACTTAAATCAATCCGTTAGCTAACGGATAATGAAATTTAACGGATCGTTAACAAACAACACGTTAGCAAGATAACGATCCGTTAGAGTTTAACGGACCATTAAAATAACTTAGTTTTGAGCAACCGGCGGATCAACTTGGCTAGCTGGAGGTGCAAAATCCTGACTGGTAGTTTGTGTGGTTGTTTGTGGAGGTCAGCTTCCATCGAAGTGATACCTTTATTGTCGTTCGTGTGTTCGTCTCTGGAGTTTAACGTCCACTTCCACCGGGGGTGATATCGTAGACAATCTTTATTGTCATGTGCAAGGGGCTTAAGAAGATGTCTCTTGTGTGAAACCGCTTGGGGACAGTCATTTAAGGGAAGCCACAGATTAGAAACTCAATTAAAACAAGTATGACTATTAGTGGATGAAACAGAGCCACGATCCGACAGTTACAATCCGATATGCGCGAATATCAAAAGTAACCAATATCTTTGGGTTATAAACATGTATTACATGTTTCATCGTGGGTTTTCTTCAGGTCCTCCGGTTTCCTCCCACTGCTAAAGACCCCTACGCGCAAGCGAATTATTAAAATAGAATTGAACCATATGTTAGTCCCGAAATGACCTAGTTTGTGTCGAGTGGACGTTAAACCCCATCTCTCTCTCTCTCTCGCAGTTTTGGCCCGATTTTCACAAAATCCTGACCTCTAGAGGATATACAAGCTAAAAACGAGGGGCGGCCATTTTGTCTGGCAGTTTTGGTCCAATTTTCATGAAATTCAAACTCAGACAAAATTACAGTGTAACGGTGATATATCCAAACTTTTTTCTTAATCGGATAATAATTGTGACCTCTATAACCTTTAAAATGAACAGATGTGTCCATCAGACAATGACAACATTGTCCTTTTATGTGTTAGGTCTACACATATTGCCTGATTTGCAAAATCTGCAGTCAGGCATTAAGTGTAAAAAGAAGGTAGGAATTTTAATCATTTCGTGTAATGTCTGGTGCTCACAGGCTCTTCGCGAAATGACTGATTTGTTTAGTCATTACGTGAAATGACCGATTACACAGGTTGACTGTAACATATATATGTACATTCGTATTACATTATTGCGACTCATTTAATTTGTATCAATTTCTAGGTCCCAAATATTAGGGATTTAGCGCCTTTAATTAATATTTATATAACATTTCAGGCCTAAAAAAGACCTGCAATAGGCAGATTTAGCTCTTGAATAATGTATGTTTAATATTTTTAAATAATATAACATTGTGTGAATATCAGTGAAAATAAGTTTATATATAGAAACAATAGGACATGGTTTATTGAAAGATTAGGAGACTACCATCTGCTGTTGTTCACAGTTTTTATCTTGTATAGTACATGTATATTTAATTTACCTCTATTGATTCTCTTATGCCTATTTATTGTTCTGTATATAATCCATAATATATATATATATACGATGTCTCATGTACACATTGGCATGCACGTAAAAGAACCCTTGACAATTGGAATCTGATATAAGAGTAGGTCATAGTACCGCAGTCTGGGCGAAATAGAGTGTGCCCGTCTTTATTAGCCCAGTCCGTGCAGAACAGAGGACGTTAAACCTCATTTCATTTGTGTTGGCGGCCGTTGACTCACAAACGAGGAGATCCTGGTGCAGTCAAAAAAAACCACGAGGTCCACCTGTGTAGGCCTACTTATCGCCATGTACGTAAAAGAACCCTTTACAGTCAAGTAGACAGAAACACTGTCCAAGCAAAATTTCCCACATAAACCTTAAAGACATACGACAATCTTCATTAGCCCGATTGATGCCGAAAAGTCAGAGTTTCAATTTTCACCGCTTCCAAGATGAAGTAACGCCTAACTCACAATAAATTATACATACAGGTATTGACACTCAGGTTTTCAAAAATACACAAGTTTTTAGGCGAGACAGAGAGACGGACGAACAGACAGGGGTGACATCAAAATACATCCACATTTCATCATTATTACTACTAGTATGACGTTATAACTTAATTCAAGCCATTACACCTACCTTAAATATACATGATTTAACAGAATTATAGAGAGCAGCCATCGTCACTGTCTCCTGTCACCACAAGATGAGTAAATCTATAAAATCTATATAACAGCTACAACAAGAGCTGGGACAACCTGAAAAACATAATGAGTCAACAATCATTGACATCTCATGCCCTTTGACACATTTTGGAAGGTACATGTAGGCTAAATAATAATAATTGTCATTGAGTCACATGGCGTGTTTTCGATTCCTTGGTTGTACGTGACAATTTAAGGACTAGGGTCCAACCTCGTGGGTTTTCTCCAGGTCCTTCGGTTTCCTCCCACTGCTAAAGACCTCTACGCACAAATTAAAATTACATGGGCAGCCACGGTGGCTAAGACGCTAATGGCTTGCTATCCTGGAGGTCACGTGTTCGATCCCAGACAAGGACAGCTGTCTAGTCGTTTGGATATCAAGAAACGCTGTCCTGTCCATGTATATACATTGTCATGCACGTAAAAGATCCCTTGGCAGTTGGAATTCCTAGTGCCTCTATCCTGGCAAAATTTCCCTTATAATTTATAACACACTATTATGTATGCACATCTTCATTAGTCAAGTCGGTGTAGGACGTTAAACCCCCTTTCATTCCATAAATCATATCAACATATTTCGAAAGATTCTGGTTCCTATGGGTCACTTGGATAGATTGTCAACTCCAGGGATAGTTAAAGCATAAATGCTATATTCCGATTGATTTTGGTTCATATATCGGCCACTTGGATGGGGCAGTGCGTCACTTTTGTCACTTGACTTAATCTTAATGTGCCATAGACATAGATTGTCCACTTGGCTAATTAATTGATTTTATTACGAAAGATTCTGTCATGTAGGGAAACATGTCTCTGATCCGACGGGAATCGTTTCATCACCTCCAATAAACCGACAAATTTTACAGAATGCCATGTCAGCTTTCCTGAGTGCCAACGGAGCGCGTGCTACTTGCTTGCTGCCATAAAAATAGAAAAGTTCGTTGATATCTGCGTAAAATTTTAGAATCATGTTATAAAACAGAGTTATTTGTCCTTTTAGACCATTAAATTCTACAAAATGGTCGCTGATAATGGATAGAAACAAATTATGAAACTATATAACGACAAATTTATATTACCTGTCAAGGAACATCAATTTTTCAGACGGATAAATTCAGTGATAATTTTGTAAACACCATTGCCACGTTGGTTTGCAATACATACATGTCAAAATCCCTAACATGTTTCTGTAAGCCGTGCGGTGATTGGTTGATCTCCTTGTGAATAAATCAATCACAACGCTTGTACTATATATGTAGTTCATGGGTCACGCTTAATCCTACATATTTATATATCAGAGCTGTTGAACTATAACTAATTGTATATAAAGAATTGTTCCGAGCGGACGGGTTGGCGGCTTAGCTATGTTAAAGGAAATATTTATACTGTGCTTAACAATCATTCACGGGGAATTTGTTTCGTGTGTGCCAGACTCGTACCAAACAGCACGCGATGCTATCCTAAAGGCAGAACGACAACAAAGGCTGGGAAGCCAAATCGAGCTAAATTCTGCGGAACTGGCACTGGATAAATTTTTACTTCAAGACAAGCAGACGACAATCGAAAATGCACGTGTGGGAGGATCGGATTTTCCGCCTTCTATTAATTTCTTTCAGTCTAAAAAATGGATCGATGACAGTCCCGTTTTTAAAGTCATAGAAAAAATGCCCAAAGGTAAGTTCCATCATGGAAGTAGAAAAATGGTTATTTTTCCCAGAACCTTTTACGAAATTACGATTACCGTATACATATATAAACTGTGAGTGAAATTACACGTATCAGGCCACGTTCTTTTTGTTGTTTATTTATTTATTTATTTTTTAAATCGCACATTCGGATTAATGGATAGAAATTAAAACCATTATAAGACCTTTATTGTTTCATAATCAATGTACAATATTTTAGAGCATTTTTAATTGACAAGCCCCTACCAAGGCTGATTGTTACATGTATATGGGAGATAGGTTTGGGTAAAAATTGCATATAAGCGAAGCTAGCCCAGAGGCAAAAGCCGCTCCGTACAATTTATTAGATTAATGAGATGATCCCTAACCCGTGTATCTTCTATGGCCAAGGGCATTCAACAATTTATACTGATCGGTAATTAAACAAAATAACAACTTCAAAACCAAGCATTAATAGATTTCGTTTTGCCCCTTGTCATCTCAATGTGCCTGGTTGTACCCAATATAGGCTACTGTGTCATAGAACCGTGTACTTGTATTTTAAGCATTTCTGATTTATAGAACCAGTGTCGTGAACGAGACAGGATATTAATTCCCATACATGTACCATGACACCACATAGATCACTGTTCACGTAAAAGAACCCTTGGCAGTTCAAAACAAGAATAGGCCGTAGCGCCGTTGTCGGGGAATAATTTCCCCCATAGCATGGCGTATGTCGGTCTTCATTAGCCCATTAGGGGCAGAACAGTAGGACGTTAAATCCCATTTCATTTCATTTAGGTATAGCACTACTTTTCGGCGTTTCTTTTGTGCTTGAAAACGATTAAGGGGCCATTTGTGCTTGAAACGATAATGGAACACTTGTCGAAACGCCATGCCAAAATATAACAAGCCAGTGAGTGTAATTCATATATAAATGGTTTGTTTTTAATTTTTGACATAATAAGACACGTATGGCAAATTATCCCCGATCCAGTGAAATTTAAAACGCAATACCATAGGAGATATAAGCAGTTTCACTTGGACGAGATATCGGCGACCCCGGTAAAAACTAGAGTACTCTACTTATATTTCTATTAAGTGGGTTGTGGAAGGAACAAACTTCAAACTGTCAGATTTATAATAAAATAAGAGATTAGTTTATCATAGATCTGTTTGGTTTAGCGGTGTCATGCTTCCGTCCTGTTGTACTTTTGGCCTACTAGTTGTATACATTGGAGTTTGTGCCATGATTTCGACTAAGTACGTGTCGAAGGAAAACACTCAAGTGCCACTGCCCTAGGAGTATCCCCCACCTACTGCCTACATTGCAGCTGAGTATAGTGTGATGCTAACAGGGGGTTATACTGGGGGCCGCGGGCTGCTGACCTGGCATACCCCACTTGACCCCATGACACAGAAAATATATTTTACCCCATCTACAGGGTTAGAAGTTAAAATTCTGTCTTTCAAATTTCCTCTTTGTTCATCAGCACGGCTCCCGTCAAAAGGCAAAACCTAGTAACTCACTTTTTTATCAAAATTGAGTTAGGACCAAATTTGTAGTTACTAGGGTAGGTGCCTCCTGTTGTACTAGATATTCCGATCTTTTGATTTTGTAAGCAGTTACACCCATGAAACAACCTAGCAACTTCCTTCGTTTGCCTAGTATACCACAGCAAAACCTAGTAACTCAATAGTCAAATCAATGGATGAGCTGCCGTTTAATTTTCATTCATTACGTTTTCCTTTGTTTTCTCAAAATAAGAAAAAAGTGAGTTACTAGGTTTTGCCTTTTGACAGGAGTCGGTTCCTCTACAGCATGTTTTGCAGGACCCTTTGGTGAGTTAGACACCGACTCACTAACCTGGAGTTTCAGGTTTAGACCCCGGTGTTGACCGAGAAAGTTCCTCAGTCTGGGTTTCCATCGTCGGTGACGTCGCACCAGGTACCCGACAAGCCGTTAGGATGGGATGTAAACCCTATATAACCCCCTTACACACGTTTGCCTGCTCGTAAAGTAGTCCGTGACAGCTGGAAATCGTTGAAGATTAGATGAAAACGCCTCTGTCCGAGCAAAATGGTGATTCCCCATGGGATACTTCATGGCGTATGCAGGTGTTCCATATTATTTTTTTTATAAACAATATTTTTATTCAGTAAATCGGAATTTGGATTGGGGGACAGGTTATGCCTGTGTGTAATCCATCTCCCTTGTTGATGTACAAAAGGTGCGCCCCAAATATTTGGGATTACTAACAGCGCTATTAATAACACTGATTTTCTGTGTAATATACAATAATCTGATGTCATTCGCGCGATACACAGTATGCATTATCGGTTATATTACCTTAACCATACTGATAATACCTTTATGTAATAAGACCGATAGCTTTATAAATACATGTATGACATTAAATTCTATATTTAGCCCGATGTTTCAATGTTTGTATTGCATACCTTTATATAATAATGCATATGTGTAGGCCTGTTTTGAATGAGAAAATATAGTATTAACAATGATAATAGAATATGTTCAAAAGTCATTTTAAGCGGAGGTCCCGCGCTCGTTCCCCGTGTTGGCCGAGAGAGTTCCTCGGAATTTTTCGGCGAGGTATGCCCCTGTCAGTGGCGTAAAACGAAGGGTCGAACGAGGAACAGTGTCTAGTTGTTCGGATGGAATTCGAGGCCCCGTGTACCCGTAGAAACACTGACAGATGGAATTCGAAATAAGAGTAGCGCCGCTGTCAGAATTTTTGTTCACCATGGCGTGCACGTAAAAGAACCACCAACAGTTGTATTTCGATAACAAATAGCGCCGCTGTCCAGATAAAATTTCCCTCATATGCCTTTTTTCGTTATCTCGGTTTCTACGTTTCATTCATCTTTCGCCATATGTTTATATGAAGATTGAGTATCTGTGTCACCAAGCAACCTGTACGTATTGTAAGGTAAATGATCGAAGTGACCTTACACTACATAAGTAAGTAGGTCAACGGTCATACTGACCTATAAAGACCCCTTCGATAGAGGACAAGATCACGTGTATGATGGCCGATGTTTATTATAGAATTTGGTTTGGACGTAAAAGAGAGGGAGAAATGGGGTTTACTGTCCCCTCGACAAAAACTTGGTCATTTCGGGACTAACATGGTTCAATTTTATTTCAATAATTCACTTACGCGTAGGGGTCTTTAGCAGTGGGAGGACACCGGAGGACCCGGAGAAAACCCTCGAGGCTTGAAGGCGACCCTACTCCTTGTCACGTACAACCGGGGAATAGAAACCACGCCAGTTGACTTAATGAGAGACCCTATGATACAGCGCGCACACGCTAACCATTGCCCCCCTCCCCCGAACGTAAAAGAAACCCCAGCAGTTGGATTTCTATAAAGAGTACAGTAGGTACAGCAGAAACGTCGGTGTCCGGACAGAATTTCTCACATAAAAGGCTATGACGTATGCCCGTCTTTATTATTGTAGTTTATTTCATTTTCTTCTGGGAACACGGTGGCTAAGTAGTAAGACGCTGGCTCGCTAGCCTTGAGTTCGCGGGTTCGATCCCGGTGTTGGCCGGGAAAGTTCATTTTGATTTTCCGGCGTGGTTTTCACTTGTCAGTGGTGCAGGACGGAACACCTGTCTAGTCGTCGGATTGAACAAAAAACTTAGGTTCCGTGTACACATTGGCGTGCACGTAAAAGATCCCTTGGTGGAATTCGAAATAAGAGTAGGCCGTAGCGCCACTGTACGGGCACAATTTCACTCATAGCACAGTCTGTATGACGTATGCCCGTCTTCATTAGCCAAGTAGGAGCAGAACCCCAGGACGTTAAACCCCATTTCATTTCACTTTTTTAATTTTCTTCTTGACAAGCAGTAGTCCTTTCATATGATTTAATTTTATGTTCTTTATTTTTTTTTTTGACGAGCCCACATCGATTCTCTTGTGTAACTAAATGCTCTGTGAGACACGCGACCATATGTCACCCCAAATAATAAATAATAATGTAACTTGGTCACATTAGACTGTACACAGGTATTTGGTATAGTAATTATTCTCCGTTTAGATTTAAATATGAATTACCAGGATGTAAGATTTAGATAAAGAGCTGACAGTTCTCGCAATACTAGTTTAAAAATTGATAATGAAAACGCGTTTGCGGCAGTTAAATTTTCAAACATTCATCGAGCTTCTACGCCTATGCATCACGGGACCACTTTATGTATATATATATATATAGAGAGAGAAATGAGGTTTAACGTCCACTCGACACAAACTAGGTCATTTCGGGACTAACATATGGTTCAATTTTTTTTCAATAATTCACTTGTGCATAGGGGGATTTAGCAATGGGAGGACACCGGGGGACCCGGAGAAAACCCACGAGGTTGGACAGGCCAAGCGATCCTACTCCTTGTTACGTACAACCGGGAAATCAAAATCACGCCAGTTGACTCAATGACAGACCTTATGATACAGCGCGCACGTGCTAACCATTCGGCTGGACTATTTACGTGGTATTGCACATAATATTCAGCTGTGATAACTGTGTCCGTGAGCCCTATTATAGATAGTCAGTCAGTCACTTATTCAGTCACTTAAATCATTTATTTATTTCTTTCATTTTGTGTGAAGCCTGTACCATAACAGGCCCGGGACTGTACAGCACAGTGGACGTTTACAGCTCCATTCACTTGATTTGATATTTGTTTATTTTTTGCCATGTCTATATTCTGACCTTTCTGCAGGTTTATCTTGTAGATATTTGTTTTACGTGTAGTGCGGTCCTCCTGCACCTAATATTAGTGAGTGCTAATAAACTCAACCTGTGTGATAATAATACAAAATATTTAATTATTACCTATTGGTTATGTTTAACAAAAAGGACATAAATACAGAAAAACAAATATCATCGGCAGTTGTCCAATCTGGTTAAAACACAGATCCTATTTCGTTTCGTTTTTATAGTTCAAAATTTCGTTTTACTTGTCTTTACTACAATTGGATCTGGAAGAGTTGTTATTTAACCCGTGTTCTGAATGGTGTCAGGGATAAGCCAATGAAACGGTCTATTACGGCGAGCGTTAGGCGTGTTCTGCACGGAACTGTGGGTAATCCACTAGTAACATCAACCGTGATTGGTAAATCAAATGTCTGACATCATAGGGTCATAAGTCGGTCTTTTGACCCCTGACGTGACCTATCGCTATAACGTGTCAGATCTTTATGTAGTGTAGGCCATCGAAAGTATAAAAAAAAAACGAAACGAATTATAGATCTGTATTTTAATCAGATTGGCAGTTGTCCCGCCGGAAGTTGTCCGCCGGCAGTTGTCCTGCTCCCGTTTTGCGATGTTTGAGTGGCAATGTACATCGCTTTTGAGGTGGAGATTGTTTTGGGGGAAATGCATTTTTGAAAATGTTCAATCCGCTTGGATGTTTTGATAGGGGATCGCCTTGGTAATTTTGTACCATGCCATTGAAATGACTATATGTAACGGTTGCGGTAAAACATGATTAAGCAATATGATCTTGGTCGAAAATACCTACACGTAGCCCCCCTCAGCTAGTCGGTGATAAACTAAATATACAATGTAGGTGCCGATGAAGCCGTAGTCGAGACGAGCATAACCCTGTGACGTTGTTTTGTTTTGAATTGTTTGCCTTTACTATGATAGGAAGTCTTCAAGCCAACGGGGATTAGCGTTAGAGAGTTCCCCGGGGTTTTCCAGCGTGGTTTCGTCTTGTCAGTGGTACATGACGGACAACCTGGCACACAAAAGATTTTAGTGTATTATAAATGTTTCATTACCGACAAAAAAAATATGCGACAACTCTTATTGACTGCCCGGACGACTTAGCTACTGTGGGCGTGTGTTTCGTTGCCTGGCAACCTATCTTTCATAACGCCTCAAATATCGATTATTTTGGCATGATTACGCTTAAAGACGTGTAAATATTTCAAAATACTACCACGTACTATGCAGGAGCCCCCCCCCCCTCCACACACACACACACCTACACCTTCTCAGCTACATAAAAATAAAAATAAAAGTAAAACAACACTACCACTTTAATGAAAAAAGTCACGGTCGCGCGCTTTATCCTTTATCAACAGATGGTGGGATGGGATGGGATGGGCATTCAAAGCTTGAGATACGTAATGATACAGACATAATGTGATATCACAATTAATGCTTTGCATCAATGAAATTGAATCACAATGTTTTCACATTAATTCATAATAAAAATGGAGGTCAAACAGGATGTTGGATTTCTCTCTTTAAGAAGCTCAGTGTGTATGTATGCCTACCAATCTGATTAAAACACAGATCCTATTTCGTTGTTAGATAACCCGCGTTCTGGATAATGTGAGGGATTAGCTAATGAACGGTCGGTTACGGCGAGTTTTTTGCCGTGAGGTGCACGGAACTGTGGGTAACCCACTAGGGAGAGATAGAGAAATGGGGTTCAACGTTCACTCGACACAAACTATTTAATTTTGGGACTAACACATGGTTCACTTTTATTTTAATAATTCGCTTGTGATCTAATTAACCCATAGTCCCGCACCGATGTCACCCCGCTCAGGGATTGTAGAGGCTTAACGAATATTCACTGCTGATCATTGCGTGTATGGCGTACACAAAATATCTGCATTAGCCCGGTTAGCGCAGAAAACTAGGACGTTAAACCTCATTGCATTCATTCATCCCCGTGACGTTAATTAGATATACAATGGGTGTAAACATCTGCCGTAGTAAAACAAAAGAAAGTATTGGATGAACATCTGTCTGGTTAACAGTTCTATAGACCAGGTGATAAGTGCATTTAATCAACTTCAACTGGCACCATTGAATGCCTGCGATATCAATATTGTGAAAGCCGATGTTAAACAATCAAAGTACTACAACTACACCATGCAGTTTAGTAATTACGATAATTTCAACAGGCACGGTGGCTCAGTTACCAGGAGAGCTGGGTGGCTCCTGCGGTTGGTCGAGAAAATTCCCCTCGATAGTTTTGAGCGTGGGTTTCCCTTGTCAGTGGCACATACATGTGTAACTGGGAGCCTGGCAAGGAACAATATCTAGTCGTTCGGATGGGTGGAAACACCGTGGTAACCCTGTAAATGACGTGAACGTAAATGAACCACTGACAATTGGAATTCGATGAAGAGTAGGCTTAGCGAAGTTATGAATGTTTGAAGTTTTTTCAAGAAATACATGTAGTCTAGGGCCCTTATTCACGAAAACTTAAACTAAGATACAATCGAAATTTTAAGAAATACTGCAATTCGATTGGCTGACCAATATGCAAATTGGATATATGCAAATTGATTTTACTGGTCAGCCAATCGAATTGCAGTATTTCTTAAAATTTCGATTGTATCTTAGTTTAAGTTTTCGTGAATAAGGGCCCAGTACCCGACGTTTGCCGATTGGCAGTTGATATTCTCGATTGTCAACTACTATTTCCACATAACTAACGAAGCCTCCATTTCCCGTCCTTCAATCGACCATATCGGTAGTGCCTCTGTGTTATCGTTTAATGTATAGATATGGCGGACATTGTCTAATCCAGTCAATATCTAAGCCATCCTATGTTCTAGAGAGTTGGTTGTGGAATTGTTATGTGAATACATGTCTAAATAATTATTTATAAAACATTAAAAGCCAGAAAAAAGATCTGCAATAGGCAGATTTAGTTCTTACATGACGACAACTAAAGGGTGACATGATGTGCCCCATTGTCATTCCAGAATGTTCGGAAGTGACGGAACGGATTGTGATCGAGTGACACGGATTTGAGTCCTGTCACGGTTCAGTTAATCCCAAAAACTGACTTGAGCTTAATCTCGACGTACATTTAATCAAATGAAATGAAATAGGGTTTGCCGTCCTATTGTTCTGCACTGACAGGCATACACGTATGCCATACAGTGTGATGTGAGGGAAATATTACCGAATTCAATTTGTCAATGATTATATTACTCACATGGCAATGTATACGCGGGAAGTCGGTTTTTCGTTTGTCCCAACCGAGCGAATATCCGGTGTTCTATACCAGGCCCCCCTTTCTGCACCACTGACACGGAGGAACCACGCCGGATAATCGCGATGAACTTCCGCGGTCAACACAGACATCGAACACGGGACATCGAGGTTAGCGAGCCAATGTCTTACCCACTGAGTCTCCGTGGCACCCACATGGTGATTGGTAGCGATAATATATAGGGTAACTAAACATGCTCGACATTTTAAGAGAAACCATTTTTAAAGGAGCTAAATCTTTATTCTTTGGCCCCTACAAATGGACACAAACGGTTTGCGACGCATATTTACATGTATGTAATATGAATGTATATAAACAGATTTACATTCACTATAATTTCTAGTCCGTTATGTTTGGCGAAATACGCGAAGAGTCCAAATTGAATGACAGTCTTTGGCGTCTGATTATTCCAGTCTACACCGGTAGTATTCTGCTATGCAATATGGTTAGCCTCGTTCATCGAGTCGCTTCATAACTAATGTCGCTCGAAAACATTGTGGCACGCGATTCGTCTGCTAATTTTAAAATTTTAATTTTGTCTTAAAGAAGGCACGTTTCTAACTCATCGTCCACGTTCTTCGACATTGGGTTATCTTACCGTGAAAAGATAAGCTTGTGATATCCAATATTTATAACAAAATAAACATTTTAAAATTTGGACAGGATTAATAAAGCGCAGGATTTTTCTAAACATTTTGTTCCTTATGCACTTTCAAGTACGTGGTCACATAAAACTGCCTTGAAAAAGATGGGTTTTCAATGTGACTTTAATGTTTCGATAGATTTGAATTGTATAATTTTAATTGGTAACTGGGCCCAGAGATATGATGCTGCAACCGCAAAAGATTTTTTGTCGAGTTCGAGCTGTATTGGTGGAATGACGTAAGGTCTTTTGAAAACGAACGCAATCCATCACAAACACCGACATTGATTGAATTATTTTATATTGCTTTTGTGTGTTGTGTATTAGAATGGCGAATATGATCTGAAAACATGTATTTGTTCCCGTATTTAATAATGCCACTGGCACTGTGCCGACTTTTAACTTCCTTTAGCCTTATTTACGTAACTCTAAACTGTCACATTTATAATAGTATTTAATAATGCCACTGGCACTGTGCCGACTTTTAACTTCCTTTAGCCTTATTTACGACGTAACTCTAAACTGTCACATTTATAATATGTCGTTACTAATTTTCATCACTACCTGCCCCTAGAACTGTGATCGCATCTAGTTGTCACTCCTGCCTCTTCGTCGGTCCGACCTTCCGGCCGTCGTCTGAAATTATGTATGTACGCCCTGAGCGCAAAAGTTATCATCCGATTCATCTGAAATATATACACAGTGTTTATGCTTATAAGAAGAAGACACCTACTGATTATTAGTGTCAAGGTTATGGGCATTGATCACTTGTTATGTTGCCTTGAAACAATGTTTCGACCACTCTCCACACAAGTCTCGCTATCCAGCGGACTGCAAGGAAAGTCAATTCTGTTTGGGAGATTGTGTTTCGACATGATTGTACATGTATCTCTTTGTTACAAGCTGCCCTAGAGCTAGGCCTAGTGCAGAAATGTAGCCCACGACGTTTAGTCCCATATTTCAATATATTTTTCTTTCATTACAGGTTGTGCCCTACATGTCCACGACTCATCTATAACCAGTTTAGACTGGATAATATCAAACGTTACCTACAGAGCTAACTGTTATATATGCTTCAACCAAACCACTGGATCACCAAGTCTACATTTTTTTAATAAACCCCCTGTTAATAAAGGTGAGTTATATATGTTTCAATCAACCCACTGGATCACCAAGTCTACATTTCTTTAATAAACCAACTGTACATTTTATTACCCTTGGGCGGGATCTTCCGTGGGTACACTGAAAAAAAAACTTGTGTTGAAACAACACAAGTTAGGTGTCTCTATTTAACAACACAAACTTGTGTTGAAACAACACAAACTTGTGTTAAATGTTGAAACAACACAAGACTTGTGTTAAAATTTACCAAACAACACAAACTTGTGTTGAAACTTGTGTGAAAATCTACACAATACTTGTGTCGAAACTTGTGTTGAAATTTCTGAAACTTGTGTTGAAATTTCTGAAACTTGTGTGGTTTCATAAAAACTTGTGTATAACCACCAACAAAAACTTGTGTTTCATTTTCCCTCAATTTAGCAATCTTTCCCATGCAGCCCCCCACCCCTTTTGCTCTGTTTAACCTGTAAAGTTTGATAAATGAGGTAACAATAATTTTATTTGTTAAATTATCATTTATTCATAAAATGATAGGAAAAAGTAAATTAACACCACCAAATCAAAACTAAATAGACATCATTTGAAATGTTAACAGAAAAACAGAGATATAATTCTAATACTAATAAAAATTTTGTTATACTTAGCCCCCCTCCCCCCCACATCACAAAATACAAAATAGCTATTTAATTTTTTCTTTACCCGAAAACAAGAACTGAGAAAAGAAAGAACCCTACCCCATACCCCAAAAATATATAATTCAAATATATCAAAATTTAATAACATCCAAACCAAGCCCTAATTAGATTAATTATGCACTAAATTGAAATACTTTCAGAAACTGAAAAGTGCTACAAAGTCATATTACTAGTGATTTGTGAGGCATCTAGAAATAACTAGCATACACAGAAAACTAACAAAAGAAAAATGCACTATTTTGCAGGAGTAATAAAATGATGTAGAACCTTTTCCTCAAACAAAATGAATATTTTGTACATAAAAGGAGCAAAGCATCAAGATTACAGGATTGAAAAATAAAAAAATATCAGAGAAAATCGCAAACATTAAATAATATGTACAAAATATATATAAATAATCACAAGTCAAAAGCAAGGAGGAGCCACTGTGGTTCAGTGAGTGCATTGGCCGAGAAATTTCAACTGGATTTTCCGACATATACCCACACGTCAGTAGTGTAGGACATGGCAAGGGATAATTGGGTATAAGCCCAGAATTGAAACTACCCCCACTGCGTTTACTTTAAAGAACCCTTGACAATTGAATTATCTGACTCAATGACAGACCCTTCTGATCCAATGTGCGTGTGTTAACCATTCGGCCCTCCTGGGTTCCCTTGAAATATTTGATATAAGAGTAGGTTGTAGGGCAGAATCACCATAATAACACAGAAAAGTAGGATATTAAACCCTATTTCATTTCATAAGCAAGGGAAAGTCACCTTAATGTAGGTCAAGGTTTTTTGTAATTCTGGGTATATTTGATCTACATTTGGTTTCTAGACTATGCCTATTAAATACTTTATGATTTCCGACCAAATTCTAAGTGATTTATATGTCACTTTACATTCTATATTATACATAATTTCTGTAGAGAATTAAAATCTAATTGTGTTTGGGATGAATATTTAACAGTAAAAACAAAAAAAAAATATTCAAAAATTGGATCAAATGCATTCTTTTCCAGAATTATAAAATAAATTGATGCTTGGGATCTCTTGTTATCATACATCAAATAATCTTCCAGCCTAAAAAATAAAAAGTAGGCAATAAGAATACTTTCTTACTATTTATGGTTCACAATGTTTAAATAAACAATTTATTTTGCCACATCGAGACTGAGTCTCTATTTTGTTTCATCTTTGGGTAACACTTATTGTGTCTTGTCCAGTAACAGACCCAGGCAGATTATTATATTTTATTTCCATCGACAACAAATTGGATATTACCTATTAAAATCTATTTGAAAAGTAAAATATTGTCCATTTTTATACTGCTATTTACTGTAAAAATACACATAGGGTCTATCACAACCTGAAGAAAATCAATGGATGTGATTGTCAAAAATCAAGAATGCCAAGACTTGAATAGGAGAGTCCTAGGCATTGCCCCAAGAAGAATAACTAGATTACCAATCAAGTGTATAGAACTAGTTGATGATTAAAAATAAAAATATGTATGTTACTTACATTTTACCTGATTATCAAGCTCTGTGAGAAAAAGTTTCCATAATATGAATAGCCATTTCCAACTGTCTTGATCTTTCTGATGTAGTTAACTGAGAAAAACAACATACTATGTTTTAGTTGACTTAAATCGATTCAATATTTAAATAGACGAAAGTTTTAATTTAATTAAATTGTATTGTAATGTGTTGGTTTGCTTTGTCACAGATGAGACAAAATGAAAAAAATGAAATGAAATGGGGTTTGGCGTCCTACTGTTCAGCTTCGACTGGGCTAATGAGGTTGGGCATATGCCATACAGTGTGCCACGAGAGAAATTTTGCCGGGTACCGTGACCCTAAGGCCTACTCTTGTATCAAATTCTAACTGCCAGGGGCTCTTTTACATGCACGCCAATGTGTACACGGGACCACGTTTTTTTGTTCAATCTGAACGACTAGACAGCTGTCCTTGTAAGGCCCCCCGTACTGCATCGTCTTACTGCAAACCCGCGACCTTAAAATATGCAAACCAGTGTCTAACCCACTTGGTCACCATGGGTCCCCACAGATGAGATAGTCATATCTACATGTATCTGGACATAAGTAAGAGAAAGTTCACCAAAATTTTCCGGCGTGGTTTCCTCTTGTTAGTGATGCAGGACGGAGGGCCTGACAAGGACAGCTGTCTAGTCATTCAGATTGAACAAAAAACCGTGGTCCCGTGTACACATTGGTGTGCATGTAAAAGATCCCCTGGCAGTTAGAATTTGATACAAGAGAAGGCCTTAAGGTCACGGTACCCGGCAAAATTTCTCTCGTAGCACACTGTATGGCATATGCCCAACTTCATTAGCCCAGTCCTCCGTACTGCAATGTCTTACTGCAAACCCGCGAGAAAGCTCATTTGAATTTTTCAGCATGGATTCCATGCCTAGTCGTCATGGTGGCTAAGTGGGTAAGACGCTGGCTCGCTAGCCTGGAGGTCGGGTGTTCGATCCCTGCATTGGCCGAGAAAGTTCACCCAGATTTCCCAGCGTGGTTCCCCCTTGTCAGTGATGCAGGACGGAGGGCCTGACAAGGACAGCTGTCTAGTCATTCGGATGAAATGAAAAAACAAGGTCCCGTGTACAGGTTGGCGTGCACGTAAAAGATCCCTTGACAGTTGGAATTCGATACACCGCAGTGCCGCTGTCCGGGCAAAATTTCCCTCATAGCACACTGTGTGGTGTATGCCTGTCTTCATTAGCCCAGTTCGGAGCAAAACAGTAGGACGTTAAACCCCATTTCATTTCATTTCTAGTCGTTTCAATGGAACACAAAACCTGAGGTCCCATTGGCGTGCATTTAAGCCGATAGTATGGTAGTTGGAATTTGTTGGCTGTAGCACCCGTGTCACAGTTCGACTGCTAGTTTGCGATACCCACTCGATATGAATGAGTGGTGATTGGCTAATGAATTCTAAAATCAGACGAATGCTTCGGCGAAGCGGACACACCACTCAAATACAATTCGGCCAAATATATCAAACATGTTTGATTCGGGCGTATGTCAGTGGATAAACTAGGTGAAGTTTAGCGCCAATTGATTCAGCCAAATCCTTTGGCTAGTTTATCCAGCACTGACGATTTAAGTTTGTACTTTCTTTATATGCAAATATCACATTTGAAAGAGGCTGTAAGCCTACTTTCTTTATATGCAAATATCTTATTTGAAATAGGCCATTATTATGTGATTCCCCACTTGAATGTGACTAGGAATAGGGTCGTCTGTCCAGCCTTTTGGGTTTTCTCCGGGTCCTCCGGTTTCCTTCCTTTGCTAAATACCCCTAGGGTGTATTCGAAACAGTGTTCCGGTGCAGAGAACGGACGGAGAATGGGTTCTTGTCGGACTTGAGCAGTCTGGAATGCGTTCACGAACACATTCCCGTTCTCAAATCCCACACTACCTCATAGCTGGTGTGAGGGAGAACAAACATGGTCGACGTATCGATAACTGCTGAGAAAACAGCATCATGGGTGCATTTATTAATTTAAAAGTTTAATACCGTTCGAAAATTGGATGTAGTATGTGGCCAGTATAACATCAAGTAAGTTAGGTTGCCAGGCAACGAAACATATGCCCACAGCAGTTTAATCGTTTGCGCAGTCAACAGGGATTGTCGCATATTCATTCTTTTGTAGGTAATGTGGGCATTTACAAGAAAATTTCATACAAGATTATAATTTTCGTCGTTTGTGGGTTTACAAAGGTTCTACAAACTGAAACAAGGGCCTTAATTGTTGAAATTTGACAGATTTTTTTGTTTTGTGTTTTACTAATTTAAATAATGCATACAATTTTCATACAAATCGGATGATAATTTTGTTGTTCGTGCGTTCACAAGGTTCGAAAAAGTGAAACAAGGGCCACAATTCTAGACATAATTCACAGAAATCGCAGAAATTTAATAGACGTCTTCGTTTCACTAATTTAAAAGATTCAAATGAATTTCACAAAGTGAAACAAGGGCCATAACTCCAGAAGAAACTAACAGAAATTATTGAAATTAAATAGGATTCATCTCATTAAAATAAACAACATATCAATTTTAAAATAATCAGTTCTGTAGACGACGGACAAACCTACGGACGAGGGCGTATCAAAAGGTGATGTAATCGTCATCCAAAGAATTGAAAAGGAGTAAAACGGTGTCATAATTTATCAAAATTATGCTTAATAGCGAAGTAAATACTAAACAAGTTATCGTAACAGATTGTATAAATTTAATTCATCTTGTTACCATGGATACCGTTCTCTCATGTTCGAGACTCATGAAAGTGTTTTCATGTTCTTCAGCCGTTCTCGAACCTGCGCAAACACTGTTTCTAATACACTCCTACAGTACGCGCAAGCAAATCATTCAAATAAAATTGAACAATATTAGCCTCGAAATTACCTAGCGCCAGTAAGTATAAAGGATCTATCCGACAAACACTAACAACAACTCTAGGTTGATTACATGTCATTTGGGACTCACGTCATTTGGGACTCGCGTCATTTGGGACTCAAAAAATATGACCACGACATTTGAGACTCCGGTATACGACGTTTGGGACTTTGGTATACGTCGTTTGGGACTCGGGTTAACGACGTTTGGGACTCGGGATAATTTATTAGAAATAGGCCAATTCAAACAAAACACGAAAGAAAATATTTATTAACATGAAACTCGTGGTTAGTAAAAGGCTCAACCAAACGATAAAACATTAGTTGCACTTACGGTTCTTTGATAATCATCGTTTCTGATAAAAGTTTTATATTTATTTAAAACGAATAATATGCTGATGAATTTATTTGAAAATGACCTACACAAAAAACAAAATAAATATTTACACGACATGCAATCTTTTTTTACAAGCCCCTAGAAATTGTTAACGATAATCCGTGAGCTGCACGTTGACATGCTTGTCGTAGATGGCAATACCAATTGATAAATTAGTGCGTACAAGGCAAAGTTTTTTTGTGGAAAATATAAGAAATGGCAACGATCAAAGTGGGATAATTAAAGCTGATTAACTGATAATCCCAATGTTATTACAGTATGTTCAAAGAAACCTAACGGTTCTTTGGTGGATAAGGAAAATGTGAGTTGTCAATCATCGAGAATGGTGGCCGTGTGTTGATTGCAGTTATACCGTTTCACGAAAAAACATTAGAAGTGGTCGGTCAATCAAGCTCGTTTACTATTTATAACGCAAATTTTTCGTTTCGGTTAAAACAAAATATACGTCCATTTTAATTGGCCGAAGGATGTGTGACTAATAGAAATATGGCGGGCGGACAAACTGACCAAACAGTATATTTCGAGGTATTTGAGGTAAGCTAATTTAATATAATATCATAACTGCATGTGCATACTTGTGTTTCTGTGTGATTAAATATTCAAAAAATCATTCTTAGGATACAGCCTCGACACCAGTCAGCCCTGAATTGCAATGTTTGTTTTGTGTTCTGGGCGCCATTTTGAAAAAAAACTGACATGACCTATATAATACAATCCAGCGATAGTGCAGTCAATTTCCTTTAAAAGGGAATCCGAATTTGTTAATTTTCTGCAATATCACTTCGGTGGTAGCGGACGTTAAATAAAGCTATTTCACGTACAAAGACCTACAATAAAATCCAGGTGAATTGGGAAAAATATTCATGTATTTTCTTGATGAAGAGTAGCTATTTCAATTTGTAAATGCCCAGTCATCTTAGACAAATAATAATTCCAACTTCAAATCAGTTGTATTTATTCAAATCATACTATGAATAATTGTATTTTTCCACTTGCATAATAATAAAAACTTGACTTTTATTATTTTATTTCTTCAGGCCAAGAACATGGAAAATTGGCAATTGCCTTGTATCACTGCTAACTATAAGGCACAGGGAGCCTTGGGCAGAAATGATAATAATATGGTTCTCAGATATGTTACTGTGTACAGACTGAACAAAAAATATATATACACTTGCTATTACATGTACATTATATCATTGGCAATAATAAGATCCAATTTTAGTTTTTAGTTACACACTGTTAACCACCAATAGATGAAAATAAATCATAAAATGTATTCAGCTCGACGTAAGACTTAAATAAATAGATACAGTTGGTTTAACTTGAATAGAAGTTTTAATTATCTATGCTGCATATATGCATATATCACCTTGCAGCTGAATCACATTACATATCTTTTTAGTTGATGTTCATATCGTCTTACGTATTTGTCAACATCAATGTGACCTTGTTCTATGTCACATTAGCCTATTCACACTTGTTACCACGAAGAATTTACTCACCACACCCTCGCATAGTTATGAATTTATTGTTTCACTTGACTAAAGAAACATTTTGTAGGAATGTATGCTTTTATAGATTGGACACTTGTTTGCAATATCATTGTCGGTGGAAACTGGCACTATACCTAAAGAATGACTGAACAAATAGCGGAGACGGGGTTTCAGCCGGCTGATTTAAATTATTTCTTTAAATACAGTAAAGCTTCAAATATGTCAGTTTTCCCTCTTTAGAATGTTTTTGTAAATAAGTTTTTATTGTAGTTTCCGTGGCGTATTCCCAATAAGCGTTAGAAACAAAGATATACACCCTTAATCCCGGTGCCGATAAATGTTGGGTTGTGTGGAACATGCTAACAAATCTCAGGTACGATATATGTTTGATTCTGGTTGAGAACAGCATGAGAGCAACATGATTGTTTTCATTGGAGATGAGACGCAAATATTCAAAGGGGTCAGACAAACTCTAAACCAACCGCGTTCCCTTCACTGAGTCCCTTCAAAGGAGGCCCTGTCTGTCTACCTGTGGAATAACATGCATTTGTATCTGTTAAATTTGTGTGGTAGACAGATTGATATTATTTATATAACGTCTTACCCCAAACAAATTGCAAAAGAAACCATGAAGTTTCTGAGAGCGATATTTCGTAATTAGCGTGCTTTAATGGTGGGAGAATAAATAATTAAATTTTTCAAACACAAACTGGTCATATATAAAATAGCATTTTCTGACAAGACCAGCGATAATCTCGTAAGATTAAAACAAAATATACGTTCATTTTAATTGGCCGAAGGATGTGTGACTAATAGAAATATGGCGGGCGGACAAACTGACCAAACAGTATATTTCGAGGTATTTGAGGTAAGCTAATTTAATATAATATCATAACTGCATGTGCATACTTGTGTTTCTGTGTGATTAAATATTCAAAAAATCATTCTTAGGATACAGCCTCGACACCAGTCAGCCCTGAATTGCAATGTTTGTTTTGTGTTCTGGGCGCCATTTTGAAAAAAACTGACATGACCTATATAATACAATCCAGCGATAGTGCAGTCAATTTCCTTTAAAAGGGAATCCGAATTTGTTAATTTTCTGCAATATCACTTCGGTGGTAGCGGACGTTAAATAAAGCTATTTCACGTACAAAGACCTACAATAAAATCCAGGTGAATTGGGAAAAATATTCATGTATTTTCTTGATGAAGAGTAGCTATTTCAATTTGTAAATGCCCAGTCATCTTAGACAAATAATAATTCCAACTTCAAATCAGTTGTATTTATTCAAATCATACTATGAATAATTGTATTTTTCCACTTGCATAATAATAAAAACTTGACTTTTATTATTTTATTTCTTCAGGCCAAGAACATGGAAAATTGGTAATTGCCTTGTATCACTGCTAACTATAAGGCACAGGGAGCCTTGGGCAGAAATGATAATAATATGGTTCTCAGATATGTTACTGTGTACAGACTGAACAAAAAATATATATACACTTGCTATTACATGTACATTATATCATTGGCAATAATAAGATCCAATTTTAGTTTTTAGTTACACACTGTTAACCACCAATAGATGAAAATAAATCATAAAATGTATTCAGCTCGACGTAAGACTTAAATAAATAGATACAGTTGGTTTAACTTGAATAGAAGTTTTTATTATCTATGCTGCATATATGCATATATCACCTTGCGGCTGAATCACATTACATATCTTTTTAGTTGATGTTCATATCGTCTTACGTATTTGTCAACATCAATGTGACCTTGTTCTATGTCACATTAGCCTATTCACACTTGTTACCACGAAGAATTTACTCACCACACCCTCGCATAGTTATGAATTTATTGTTTCACTTGACTAAAGAAACATTTTGTAGGAATGTATGCTTTTATAGATTGGACACTTGTTTGCAATATCATTGTCGGTGGAAACTGGCACTATACCTAAAGAATGACTGAACAAATAGCGGAGACGGGGTTTCAGCCGGCTGATTTAAATTATTTCTTTAAATACAGTAAAGCATCAAATATGTCAGTTTTCCCTCTTTAGAATGTTTTTGTAAATAAGTTTCTATTGTAGTTTCCGTGGCGTATTCCCAATAAGCGTTAGAAACAAAGATATACACCCTTAATCCCGGTGCCGATAAATGTTGGGTTGTGTGGAACATGCTAACAAATCTCAGGTACGATATATGTTTGATTCTGGTTGAGAACAGCATGAGAGCAACATGATTGTTTTCATTGGAGATGAGACGCAAATATTCAAAGGGGTCAGACAAACTCTAAACCAACCGCGTTCCCTTCACTGAGTCCCTTCAAAGGAGGCCCTGTCTGTCTACCTGTGGAATAACATGCATTTGTATCTGTTAAATTTGTGTGGTAGACAGATTGATATTATTTATATAACGTCTTACCCCAAACAAATTGCAAAAGAAACCATGAAGTTTCTGAGAGCGATATTTCGTAATTAGCGTGCTTTAATGGTGGGAGAATAAATAATTAAATTTTTCAAACACAAACTGGTCATATATAAAATAGCATTTTCTGACAAGACCAGCGATAATCTCGTAAGATATGACTTTTACTATGTCTATTAAATGGTTTTCGACGTCTCTTCAAGGTCACCGCCTTGCGCCAAAGTCGTGAAACGCACCGTCGGGGGATTTGTTAGGGCCTGTCTCCCCCAGAAAAATTTCTAGAAATTTCAAGTCGGTCTTGCCTGGCCGTGAATACGGCAACCTGAAAGTGGTCGATTTTAATGTAGACATCTGAACTCCAATTAACAAATCAATCAACCAGGCTGTTGTCGTTGCATTCACATGACACCAGACGTGTCACCGATGAAACAAATATGCCTGAAACAAATGTCGCTGTTAGTGCGACCCATTTGTGACAATTTCAAAGTCCCAAATAATAGTCCTTTTTTACTATTAATAGTAATTCAATCAGTAAGTGCTATTTACCTTATAATAGTCGTCTTGGCTTTTACCCGACATTACACAAAACACCAATGGTAACTGTCGGGTGGTCTCTCCAGTCTTAATGAAGGCGTGTATGGAAAACAGCTGAGACCATGGCTTGTTCACCACCCGAAAAGTTGCATCCATATACCAAGTTTTTGCGCGTGCGAGTAGTTGCATCTGTCTATCAGTACAAAAAATGTGATGGCGCCTTTCCCCAACTTTTACTCTTTTTTGATAAAATCCCGATGCACTATGATCGATGAAATCTTCGTCAAGCTAAAACAAAAAATAAATAAAAAAGTACATTTAAGTACATGTTAATAAATAAATAAAATTGTACATTTAATTACATGTTAATAAATTCTTATATACATGGGTATTTAATTGCATGAGTACTTACGCTTGACGACACGTCAGTGGGATCTTTTGGTCGCAGAGTCTGTCGGGTTCTTTATAGCGACCTTACAAGTGCTGCAATGGGTGGTCTGCTATGAATGGGTTCTTCTGCAGAACCGACACTGGATAAAACTCTCTAAGCTATTGAGGAACATGCCTTGGTAAAAACATTTCCTTTGGCTTCATGCTTTGCCTGTAATGATAAGATAAAACATATTAAACTACAAATTTATTATTGGTTTATTTATATTTTATTTATTTATTTATATATTAAATTCATTTATTATTATAGAGTTAACTAGGTTAACTAGAGTTAATTATGCAGAATTAATATAACACAACTTACACAGATGGCAATAGAATGAGACAGTGTTCAGAAAAAGGGCGGAAGAAGACTACCTGTCCTACTTGATTCTAGGACATATATATAGCATGGACCTACTTGATTCGACCAATTTAATACAAGGAAATGAATGGCATAGTTTGTGTCAAGTGAATTCAGTGAACTTTAAACCCCATTTACTCGCCCTCTCTCTACAGAGATAAATACTTTTCGTGTTACATACAATAACAATTATTGGCCATTATTAAAAAAATATATTAAAAGGAAATGAAATTCTGTTACCTGTTTTTCTTTGTGTAGTACATGCTAACATCAATGACTGGAAAAAAAAAATAACGAAACTGTAGAGAAACTTCTGAATCATTGAAAGTCTAATATTAGGCCTACACATTGATGACATTGATATAAAAAAAGGCTGATTTGTTTGTTGTTGTTTTTTTCTTTTACAGAAATAAGATTACATTTCAACTAAACAACTAACACAAAAGTTAGTATCTAGCTATAGTCCATGTCTGGATATACATTTCTCCTTTTGCCCGAACGTCTATAAAAATCAAAGATGGCGGCCAATAATTGCAACCGGGTATTACTATAAAATCAAGACAGATTCTTACCTGCTGGTCCTAGTCGGGGGTTTCTTGCAATTATAAGTATTTGAACAACGGTGTAGCGCCGATTAGCTAATAATAATTAAGCACGATTTCAGAAAAATTAAGACAGATTCATTAGATTGCTGAATTAGCGGAACACTTTTAGAACACATCAAAAAAATTTTCTTTGTGGCGCCATTATATAAATAGACTTCCGGTGCAGTCAGTGGCAGTAGTTCTAAATCTGACTGTTTTAAACGAAACGAATTATTATATACATAGAAGCAATATATACATGCTAAATTAAAACCACGGTTTTATTTTTTGTAAAAATTTACAAACCTGCGGTCTGGTATTCTATGTGACCATTATAATTTTTTTTAAAATATCACGGCTAAAGCACCCTGTTGATGCTAACTTCACTACATCTATCTAACTGAATGTCGCTGATATAATATCAAAGAAAGAATTTGTCGCAATGACTAAAGTATAGATACTTCTTCTTAGTTAGTTGTATTTTACGTCCGCTTCCACCGAAGTGATATCGCAGACAAAAAGTATAGATAACTTGGAGAACCATTATATCAATAAGTCGATTATGAGATACACGTGGATGATCAATTAAATTTGATTGGTTACTTTTCAGTTAACCAATACTGTCCAATTTCGATTACATCAACCAATTACATTATTAAGAGTTTTACTCATTTTTTTTTGTTCATTGTACATTGAATCAATTTTCGAAAACACCAGGGTGCTGAAAATCACATGTACACTATATATTCATTTGATCTATCAGTTTATTGGGTCAATAAAAAAAGACAGACATTTTAACTTTACAGACAACTTAACATCAATTAACATTCAAGTCTGTCTGGCAATTGTCTGATTAATTGGTACTCACACCCTTCCAGTGAGGAACAGCATGTGATTTTCGAGATGTGAATTAAGCCCTTTATTACTTTTCTTAAAACTTGACGACTCCCGAATTCAGACTTTGTATGGAGTTTTTTTTTAAAAAAGAAAACAAATCTTGGAAGGTACACATTACTTGTGTTAATGATATGAAAAAAACACAAGATTTTATAAATCGACACAAGTTTGTGTTAATGCAATGCAAAACAACACATAATTTGTGTAGATTAGTTTTAACACAAGTACTTGTGTTGAGATCCAACACAAGTGTTTTTTCAGTGTAGTTTTGAGACACGACTAGAACTCAACCGACTGATAGATTATCCGGTTATAGCCCACTTTCACCCAGAGTTAACGAAGAAACTGTCTAAATCCCGCGCGGGGCGGATCCAATTTAAAAAAAAATCATGTGCTATTTTTATTCAATCTGCACAAGATCCCGAAGAACTTTTTCAGCCAGTGTCAGGATTGAACCCCGGAACTCCATTTCTTGTTACCAGGTTTAATCATGTTCTTGAATGCCCCTGGCTCTTCGAGTATGTTATGTGCTCATAGGCGTAGGGGGCCTATCTCAGTTGCGAGAGCTGAGGCTATTTGCCCGAATTTTGAAAATGAATCAATCATCATCAACTAAAACGAGTTTTCCACAAAACGGTGATGTTTCTGCTCGAAAAACGGGAATACATTGCCCGAAAAATGGACGGTTCACCTGCCCCCCCCCCATTCCCACGCCCATGTATGTTGTATGTGCCCAGTTTTAATCATGATTTATGTTCCTCAACAATGTTTTGTTGAATAGGCCTGGTTGATCGAGTATGTTACTCATGTTATTGTGTTTCAGGATGTGAATGGGAATTGATATCAACAGCACGAACACGAATTGGTAATGATAAAACATTTGATCAACAGTAAGTAGTTGAAATCTAGAAATATTCCAGCTTCATGACACATGCACGAGTTGTTTTGACAGAATCGTCTTCATAAGCGTAGTCACAGCAGAACAGTAGGGCGTTAAGCCCCCTTTCCCTTTCGATTTGATTGCATTTTTGACCAATTCGGAACGTTGTCTTGTGCTAGTTAAATTTCAAAAGGAAATATCAGCCGAAACAGGTCGAAACGTGGTGCAATTTGTTCAGATATGATAAACTATAACACATACGTATACAAAGATATGATAATAAACTATAACACATTCGTATACAAGGATATGATTAAACTATAACACATATTTATACAAAGATATGATTAAACTATAACACATACTTATACAAATATATGACTAATTGAAAAACGCTTGGCATCCACTGTGGACCATATGTGGTGTATTCCCGCGAAGGCGCAGTTACAGAGCGTGACCAAAATTAATCCTCCCGCGAAGGCGCAGATATCGACGTGTCGGCTTTCGTTTGAAGGGAGACATGTTGTTATTAGGACCCAATTAACGGTGTTAAAGATTTTTTGAATTTATGTTCACTCTGAATTTTATTCACCAATTGACAACTAATGATGAATATCATCAAATCACCCAAGTAGTGTTCACCTATTCGCTCACTCACACAATCAGTGTCATTTTTAAAGATATAAACGCACAACTTGAATTCAGCTTTGTACCTACAAATCGCGGAGGGTCAAGAAGCTAGTTGGAAAAGCCCAACCTAATGTTTTTGAATTGATCATATTTTTGCAACAAGAACAAAATATTAATGAGATAAGAATCGTCCAATATGCTGGGGGACAGGAATCACCAAAGAAAAGATATAAATATGCTCAAATTCAAAGCCAGCTCGAGGAATTGAAACGAAGACACCAGCAAAATGAATTGACATTAGTCGAGTATTTAGACAGGGTGTCTTATTTGGCGAAATTGAACTAATTTTTGTTATATTATAGTTGTTTTTATTGGCGAAGTTAAATTAATTTTTGTTATAGTATAGTTATGTTTTTTTATTTATTTGACGAAATTAAATTAATTTTTGTAATATTATAGTATAGTTATGTTTTTTATTTCTTATCTGATGCTAAAATGTTGGTTGATTAGTTACAGTGGGGATTATGAAAGTGTAAATTCTTATCATAACAATCTATAACACCATTGTTACGTTTTTAATCCATTTTAATCCATTTTAATCCTTAGTGCTGGATTCCCGCGAAATCGTCGAAAACGACCTTTTTTAATCCGTTACGGCCAATAACTCCGCCTTCGCGGGAATAAACCCCATATGTACATGATAAGGAAATTCAAATTACCACCGCCAATGATTTTCACGGAAACCTTTTCATGGGGCCCCTTTTTAGTCCGAAAGATTATCAACCGTTCATATTATAATTTTGTTTTCTTAATTAAATGTTAAATAGCCAATTTGTGTATATTTTAGTGTGGATTAAGACGTCAAAAAATAGATATTGTCCGAAAACTCAAATTATTTTAAATAATGTCAATGATTATGTATTTATAGGTTGTTTAGAAATCTTAGTATTATAGTAGATAACCCAGATGATGCGTATGTCACGGTTAATGACGTATGGAAGAAGTTCAGTAAATATTTTGGACTGATAAACGGTGTATTATATTACGCCCCTGTGTTTAAAGACTATTTCCACCAAGCTCTAGTCGAGTTCTATCAGGATAATGTCCAGTGTCTGGAAGTTCGAGCCGGACTTCCACAGGTTAGATTGGTTTGCTTGTTAGTTCATAAAGCAAGAAATTGATGCTTATACAGTTTATTAGTGTTAACAACAAATTTCCCTTTGTAGCTTAAAATACCTTTTAGTTATTTGTTTGACGTATTTCAACGGGTGATTTGATATCTATCAAGTAATTCGAAAATTTTCAACACCTTTTGAAATCATATCTTTGTCACGAACCAACAATAAACTGTTTACCAGAACTTTCGATAAAATGGACACATACGATGTTGTTTTACAGTTGATTTGCTAAAAAGTGTTGCAAATGACCATCATATCCTTCTTTACGAACGAATAATTAATTGCCAGCTGGAATTTTCTATAAAACGGATAATATTCTTTTGTAGCTGTAAAATTTCTTTACCTCAAACGCAATATGCCATTTATCATTTTAAACGGCACATTTTAACCGATGGTTTAAAATCTGTCAATTAATGCGGAAAATGGCAACGCGTTTTAACATCATATCGTTCTGCACGAACTAAATTGTCAGCTGAATTTTCGGTAACAAGGACACATCTTTTAATATATAGGACGCATTTTACCACATGATTTAATATCTATCAAGCAGTGTGGAAATTTGCAACACGTTTTATATCACATCTTTCTTCACGAACCAACAATAAATATTGTGTACCGGAAATTTAGATGTACATCATATCTTTATTCACGAACTAACAATTAATTGTCTAACCGAACCGAAACACCTTTTTAGCTGTAAAATACCTTTCCTGCTAAGGTTATGACAAATTATTATTTCATACCACGGATTTTATTTTCCATGCCCTTTATTGTTGGTGATATTTAATTATTCTATTGCACAATTTGACAGGATACATGCGGGACACCAGACAATCACACGCACAAGTGGTATCAGGTGTTCCTACACGAAATCGGTCACATTGAAAACTATTTTACCCCGAACAGTTCTTTTCTGGCAGGTTTATGAACTGAATGGTACTGTACGCGATCAAGACTGGGTTGTTCAAGCCTACCAAAGTATATCAACAGAATTCACCAAACAGAACCCAAACTTTTGGGGCACCAAAATAATTTACTCTGGCATCAGGTAATATATTTTAAGTAATCGACATAAGTTGACAAGACAATAGACTAAAAGGTGCCAACTCGCTATTCTTTGGAACCTTAGATAGACGAAAGTGGACCCAAAAGCAAATATTAAAGATACATTATGGAAGATTTGTGGCCGTTCCCACTATAATAGCTAAAACCTAGATACTGTAAAGGGAATTTGCTGACAATTTCAGTCAAATTGATCAACTCTGAACCGAGAATTTAGTGATTGATTGAATTTTCGGCCTAGCCTCGATCAGTATTACTAAAGTCGGCACGATGAAAATATAGTCTCGATTATCCATTTCATGATTTAAATCATGAATGAAAGTTGAGCATACTAATGAATATGAATGCACACGTATGCATTCAATTTTTATTGTAATTCTAATCAGTTATATGCGGCGAATTATGTGTGTTTGAAGATTGAATGGCAGTCTCTTGGGCCTGGTTTTAAAATGTTCATTATGTCTGAGTTATCAGGAGTCGGTATTTTCACGATAAGATAACAACGCTAATATTAATTGAAATGAACCAATATTAAATTTTTATATTTTGTAGATTATTGATAATAATACCTACCTACTTTAAAGATGTAACCTCGTGGGTTATCTCCAGGTCATCCGGTTTCCTCTCACTGCTAAAGACCCCTAGGCGCAAGCGAATTATTGAAATAAAATTGAACCATATGTTGGTCCCGAGGTGACCTAGTTTGTGTCGAGCGGTTTCAATCACAAGCATGTACGTGGCAAGGAACAGGATGGCCAGCCCAACCTCGTAGGTTTACTCCGGATTCTCCCCCCCCCCCTCAACTTCTAGCGAATTGTACCATGTCAGTCACTAAATGGCCTGGTTTGTGTCGGTTGGACATTAAGCCCCCCCCCCTCTCTCTCTCTCTCTCTCTCTCTCTCTCTCAGTATTTAAGTTAACAATGATGTTTTGTTTTTGAAGGTTTAACCCAGTTGCTACTATATTAAATAATGTGAAAGATGCGATGAGACTGATGAAGGCATATCCTGATTTTGTAGTTGGTTATGATTTAGTTGGTCAGGAAGGAATTGGTAACACGTTACTATATTATATTGATGATCTACTGTATCCTTCCCAACAACAACCTCCAGTTCATCTACCTTATTTCTTCCATGGCGGTGAAACAGGTATGTTACAAAGAATACATCGACTGGAATGGGGTTTAACGTCCTACTGTTCTTCTCAAATCGGACTAATATAAAATAACTATACCCCTCGGTCGTAAATTCGCATAGATGTTATGTATGCACTTTGAGAATGCACGTTATATATTATCTGTCATGCCATTGTACATGAAATGAAATGGAGTTTAACGTCCTACTGTTCTGCTCCGACTGGGCTAATGATGACGGACACATGTCATGCAGTGTGCTATGAGGGAAATTTTACCCGGACAACAGCACTATGCTTTCTTAACATCTGATACCACATCTCAATGATATGACTTTCAAATTAAGCGATTTTTTTGTACGCCCATATGAAAATTGTCGTCATCCACTTTGGATGCACTAGGGGCTGATCTGTCGGATTCACAAGGGGATGGTCTGTTGGATGCACTAGGTGTTGATGTTCATGGGCCGAAGATTATCATTACATATTCGATAACCGACCTTAGACGTCACCTTAGACAATATTATTGTGGGCGGAGTCGACGGAAAGGTCGATTACTGCCAAAGCCATAGGCCTTGATCAATATTAAAAATCATGTCGACAATCTGATATTATCACGTTTTCAATTGCTACTTTTGACGTCTTGTAAATGCCCCAGTCATCGTTTTTTTGCATGGCTTTTTAACCAGGTACACTAGTTGACTAAAACTGGTGATCTTAAACAGCGTGTTGGAAAACCGACCTGGAAATTAAATGAAATGAGTTTTAACACCCTACGGTTCTGCACCTGACAATAAGCTCTCCAATCTGTTTTAGAAGATTTGATACCACTTCTCAAAGTTCATCAAGCTACCATGGTATGTTTGTATTACAGATTGGAAAGATACGCGGGTTGATGAAAATCTAATCGATGCTATTTTATTGAATACAAGTCGTATAGGGCATGCCTTCGCTCTCAATAAACACCCGTATATCATGCAAGTCATGTCTGAAAGAGGTATTGCTGTTGAGGTTAATCCTATATCTAATCAGGTACGTGTAATTAATTTACAATACATTCTCCATATAGAGATTTAAAGCCAGGAATGAATGAATGAATGAGGTTTAACGTCCTACTTGCCTGTACCGACTGGGATTATAAACACTGGTATACTACATACAATGATGTGCTATGGAGAGGAAGTTTGCCCGCACAGCAGTTGTATTTGCCCGTGTAGACGGGGCCTAGGTGTTTTGTCCCATCCGATCTATAGACGCTGTTTGGTGCCAGGTCATCAATCCTGCACCACGGACAACGGGAACCGCGTTGAGAAATCCTTGAAGTTTAGGAGTAGGACTATAATATATCGCTTTTCGTGTGAATTTAGTACTTTGGGCATATCGTTATTCTAGTGAATTTAGTACTTTATTTGGACCATGCGTTGTAACCGGGCCATATTATGTATTCCGAAGTCGTTTAGCTGAGAAATTGTTAGCGTATTGTGGTTGAGCATCTCCATTGACTTGTTTGTTTTGCAGTATGACCAAACGATTATATTTGATGTTTTTAGGTATTAAAATTAGTGGCTGATATCAGAAATCATCCGGCTGCTCTGCTGATGACCGGAAAATTTCCTGTTGTCGTAAGCTCTGACGATCCAGCTGTATGGAATGCAAAACCCCTCTCTCACGATTTCTACATGGCATTTATGGCGCTGGCTGGGGAAGATGAAGGAATCAAAATTTTGAAACAATTAGCCATAAATTCTATCAAGTTAGTAATCTTTTTACTTTGTTACCTTAACATGGAGTAGGTAGAACCTCGCGGGGCACATTAATTCTCATAAACAGAGAGAGAGAGAGAGAGACAGAGAGAGAGAGAGATGGGTTTAACGTCCACTTGACACAAACTAGGTCAATTCGGGACTAACACATGGTTCAATTTTATTTTAATAATTCTCTGTTTAGGTAAACGATAGATAGCGAGGTTGACAAGTAAAGTGTTGTCACATCGTTCGTATGGAATGCGGTCTACCCTTATAAATTAAGCACAGGCGCAAACGCTGCTGTTGTTGCAAAAGTCCCACGCTAACATTGAACATGTGGCCAACGAAAAATCACTCAAAATGATCAAAGTGTTGTGTTAATTTGTTACAGGTTCAGTGCCATGACAGACAAAGAAAAAAAGGCGGCTTTGGCATCATGGAATGTACAGTGGGACAAATTTATCAATGATTGGAATACTTATAATAATAACTCCCAACACGTATCGCGTTCGGATCACACAGTCAAAATTATTGGTTAATCCATATACGTATATTCAATAAAACCTATATTAAGCGACCACATAAGGAAATTAATCAAAGTGTCCGTGATTTATGTGGTCGTTTAATACGGGGACATGGTTTTAGTCGTACTAATCACTGAGAAGTATTTTGATTAATTTTCCAATTATCCGTATTGTTTTTATGAAATCATTTAAATTTTGAACATGATGTGTGGAGGCATAGCATCAGATTCAATTGACCACAACAAACACCGGTGATTAGCAGGGTGGGTATATTTTATGTGAAATACATGTAACGACCATCCAACAAGTAGGCCTGTCTTAAACGTCACACGAGTGTCGATCAGTATCAGATAAACAACGAATAATAGAGATGCCCTTAATATATGTTGAATCTAATAGTTGATCTTTTGTATATTCATACGATTTGCTAACTGTAGACAAGCAGTATAAGTTTAGTATGTGTTTTACCTTGAAGCCGGAAGATTTTACTTTGGACAAAATGAAATGAAATGCAGGGCTGTTTACCCTGACACCGGTACATGGAATGGTATTGGGTGACAATTAAAACCGTGTGCTTGATTATTTTGTTATCATATATTTTTAAATTCGAATATTTAAATAAAATCCCCTGACGGTGTCTTTAACTATTGTTATATTGATTGACTTGTGGAGATATATGATTTTATAAATAAGGACTGGTTTGGGCTGTAATATACACGATGATGAATTGAATAGTAGAGGTTAAAAAGGGTTAATAGTAACAATTAATTAATACATACATGAAATGAGGTTTTACGTCCGGCTAATAAAGACGGACATATGCCATGTAGTTTGTTATGAGGGAAATTTTATCCGGACAAGGGCGCTAGGCCCTAATCTTACATCGAATTCCAAATGTCAATGGTTCGTTTAATTATAATGAATAAGTATATGGCAATTTATAAAGTTTTAATGACAATACTTTAATTAATCAATTATTGTATAATAGTCATGACAATGATGGTTTATTACGGGTTCAAATGATTATTTTATCCAAATTATTACGATTTAATTGATCTTTTATTGTAGAATATTCATAACATTGATTGTAAAAGATGCATTATGTAAGAGCTAAATCTATTGAAGTATAACGTTGCCAATATTATTTCAATGTTTACGGCGCAAAATGCATGTCAGCAGTTCAAATACGTATTTTAGTTTTACAATTTGCAATTTCCATTGCTCCACAATACCATTGTCACAGTGTTGAAATATATTGGCAACGTTATTCTTCCATAACTGTCCAACCTCGTGGGTTTTCTCCGGGTTCTCCGGTTTCCTCCCACTGCTAAAGACCCCTACGCGCAAGCAAATTATGTAAATAAAATTAAACCTTATGTTAGTCCCGAAATGACCTAGTTTGTGTCGAGTGGACTTTAATCCCCATTTCTCTCTCTCTTCCATAAAAATCTGCCCACGGCAGGTCTTTATTTTGGCTTCAAATGTTATACAAACTATTATTTAGATATTATAAACATGATAAGCCCAGAACATTGGATGGCATAGATTGAATTGGATTAGAACGCCCGTTAGATTAAAATAAAATAACGATAAAATGGATAATTGAGACTGAATCTCGTTCTTCCAGTACCGTTGCTACGATAATAAACAACCAATGATACACCTCCCAAGACTCATAACTTCGCTGTAATAAAGTAATTTGACTAAGATTTTCAAAATATTCATTTTACATTATTTATTTTTGAACTATTATAGCAAAAACGACCAGCTCTTTATGTAAATCGTACATAATGCATCTTTAACTAAGGGTTCGAATAAATTGAAATATCCTTTATAACTCATTATAATTTATTCAATCGTTTATTGTTCAATGATGGGTTAATATGGGCTTAAATAAACTACAATATCCATTACAAATTGTCCATTATAAGTTAGTATAATTTGATTAATCTGTTATTGTGCAATAGGTACGACAATGTTACGGGATCCAATGGATTATTATGAAATGGCCAAATTATTTTTAACTTAGTATAATTTAGTTAATTTTTTATTATACAACAATGTTGCCAATGATTGGTTAATACGGGTTCCAATATCCAGAATTAATCGTTTTAATTTATTAAAATGTATTTAATCTTTTATTGTACATAAAATTATTTATGATTATTATTTATTGATTGTGAATATTGTAGCTGGGTATACGTTTTCTTTTTTGAACACTTTGTTCCTAAAACAGTGGTTCAGTTTGTGCTCATTGGTCTGCAGGGTTCGCTTGTCGACCAATCATAACTGCAAAACGAAATAGGTACACATATGGGTTATGAGAATCTACTTAATGACAACCAAGGCTTGGTCGTATAACCTAATAGTTTGGATGCAGCTATGGCGGGTGTGGCGCCAGGCAGGGTAAGCTTACTCTTCCGAACACCTGTTACCACTGTTTGTCGTGTATTTTGTACACGAGGAGCAGTCCATTTGCTGATTACACTATTTAGCTTGAATACACTATTTTGCCTATAACGTTTTTTAGGACTTCGAATTCTGTCTTATGGTTTGGATTGTTCGTACTTGGTTTTATTTTATTTTTTTATAGAACGATTATCAAGACATCATTTTACAGAAAACCCACTGTACCCCAGTAGCAATAGTATATAAGCTAATAATGCTCGGCACGATTGCTTCATGAATATGGTTCAGGTGTCACTACGTGTAGAGAAATACATAGAATCATTTTGATTGTTCCACACAGTGAAATATTCCCTTGACCCTCTTGATGCACACATTTGGCTTTCGCACTATTGATTTGTCTGATGAGTGGCACCCGTCGACACGTCAACCAAACCGCCGTTCAATTGACTTCAAATGTTTCTAATGGGTGACTCCTGTCGACACATCAGTCAATTCGTCTGTCAAATGTTTTGTGTAAACGAGGACGTATTTGGTAAAATAATTTAATAAACATATATAAAATTTGAATTATTTTGTCTCCGTTTTGTTTGAGGTGGGGGAGGGGCGAATGGTTATTGAAATAAAATTGAACCATGTGTTAGTCCCGAAATGACCTAGTTTGTGTCGAGTGGACGTTAAACCCCATCTCTCTCTCTCTCTCTCTCTCTCTCTTTCCCTCCCTCTCTCTATCTCCCGTCTCTATTTTGTAAATATACGTCTAATCACAGGAGTCTGACCTTCTATCCGTATTTATATGCATACACCATGTCCAACCAGACAATATATAATAAAAAACAACAGGAATGCAATGCCTGTTGAAGACTCGATTTTATCTGCTCCGCTTCGGCTCGTTTTTTTCAACAATTCGTAATATGTCAGGCAATCAAACACAAAAACCTAACCAACCTCTAAAGTCTTGTATACTTCCGCCTCAAAATGATGACTATTCACCAAAACCTGGCAGAAAATGTATATGCAAACCCTCTTCTTCGATTCTACACCCAAAAGTCAACAAAAATCGCCATGCAAAGGGAGGAAAATGGAAAAGGGAGAGAAAAACTAAAAATATCTTTGGCACTTGTTTCAATGGTCTAGTCACTGCGGATTGGTTTTGTGTGACGTCAACGCATGGCGGCAGTGACAAAATGGAAATGGACGAAAGTAATGTAAATATTGGAAACAAGTGGCTATGATATCGTTTTGTGGGAGTATTTATGCAAATCCAAACGACTAGATTGAAGAAAAAACATATCTGAGGGAATCGACAGAGGTTTGATTGCCTGACATTACGAATTGTTGAAAAAAAAACGAGCCGAAGGGAGAGCAGGTAAAATCGAGTCTTCAACAGGCATTGCATTCCTGTTGTTTTTTATTATATATTGTCTGGTTGGACATGGTGTATGCATGTATATACGAATAGAAGGTCAGACTCCTGTGGTCTAATCCTGAAAAATGTTGTGCAGAAAATGAATGTTGTAAGTTATGTAGGTCGATTAGAACCTGATCAGTGTATTTTCATATTTTGGATCTAGCTTATTTTCAGAAGATAGCATTCAAATCCAACAGAACGTAAAATAACTGAATTTCTCCAATTTTAAGCACAAACATCATTTTTGGGTAGTCTTTTTAGCAATTCACAGAAGCCTTATATCTAGACATAATATGTCACCTTTTTTGGTTTAAAGGCTGTTTTATGTCACTGATATTTGTTTAAAAGGCTGTCTGCGTTCAACATTTCAAGTCGGTTTAGTTCCACAATCTAATAACACATACCTTTTATAAGCAAAATTGAATTTCCTTTTAAAAAGCCACAAAATATAGCTAGGGTTAATGAGGGACATTTTACCCCGATAGCGGCGTATATACCCGGTCTTCATTAACTCGATCTGTGCAGTAAAGTAGGACGTTAACCGCAATAATTGACCAGCCTCTCAGTATATTATTTCTGCAACGACCGGGCTACTGAAGACGGGCATAATATATTGAGCTATGCGAGAACTTTTGCTTGAACAGAAACTGATTTTTCTCCGCGTCCTCCGTTTCCTCCCACTGCTAAAGACCCCTAAGTGCCAGCGAATTATCCAAATAAAATTAAACCATATGTTAGTCCCGCGCAAGCGAATTATTTAAATAAAATTAAACCATATGTCAGACCCGAAATAACCTAGTTTGTGTCGAGTGGAAGTTACCCCCCCTTCCCTCTCTCTCCATCTCTCTCTCTTTCTCTCTCTCTCTCTCTGTCTCTCTCAACTAACAAATGGAAACCGAACCGGAAATCCCAAGGAACCTTCTCGGCCAACAGCAAGGCCACCAATAATACTTACGCATTTTTAAATTTTGCAGTGGCGGTCTGAATCCTTTAAACTGCCACATAATAGTTAATTCCCTTGTTTCTGTTCTTTTCTGTAGAAAATTACTCAACAGTATACGTGTCAGTCAAAGTTTGCAAATTTGAAGTCAACATGTTGTTAGTCAAAACGAATTTATATCGACATATATTCATATTATATGATTCATTCGTGTCTCTAGCCAGTCACAGCCACTCAAAGTCGGATATTTACAGTTTCTTGTATAGTACAGCAGGACACGAGTACGAAAAAGTAAAGTCATGAAACACAATGGACGAGATATAATTTGATAATTTTTATTCTAGTTTAAACAACAATGGATCCTTGTGATTGTGTGTAGTGCCTTTAACTCATGATAAATTATCATGGAATCAACAAATTGATATGAATCGTCACCAAAAGCAAATTTAATCGAATCATCGATCCTTTACGGTAAGTCTATCTACAATTGAAAACGAAATTCCGTCGTCTAAGAAGTATATGATATATAAGCAGTAATTGTATTCCATAAAATTGTGACCTGTATATTGTTTATTATCGTAGCAATGATGCTTGGCAGTCCAGACAATTTAAGTTAAATCTTATCAAACCTTCAAACATTCATATTTTCCATCAGAATAAAGACATTTGACTGAAATTTTCAATATATTCATCTTTTATTATCTTTTTTAAAACTATTGTGACCAGAACAGCCATCTCTTTATCGAAACCTTACACAATACGTTTAAAATCTAACTTTTAAATCAAATGTTTTTTTTTAAAACTTCAGGCAGTTTGAAGATTCGGTGATGAGTGACGACAACCGTCTTGTAATATTTTATATATTACACAGAGTATCGTCAATATATAAGATATCATAAAACTAGTTCTTGTATATCATTCGACTATAAACAGAGATTAGAATAAACATGGCCAACGAACTGAACAGCTTTAGTTGCAGCATATGTCTTAATGAATTTAATAAACCTAAAATAATAGACTGTCATCATACGTTCTGTGAATCATGTCTTGCTAATTACGTAGCCAATGCCGTGGTCAATAACGAGTTTCTCTGTCCACTATGTAGAAAGGAAATCACGGTGCCTGATGGAGGAGTAAAGGCGTTCCCGGTGAACTTTTACATTACAGACACACCCCAAATATCTTGTCAACAGCCAGTCGAACGTCAACAGACTTCTAGACATATGTGTACTTTACATTTGAGAGAAAGGGAACTATTTTGTTGTAATTGTTGTGAAGCAGTATGTATCAAATGCTTTATATCAGAACACCCCGGTCATTTCCTAGAAACTGTTCACGTTGCTGAGAATATACTCATAGGAAAACTTACACTGTTGAGAGAAGATATTCAGGCTAATATTTTGAAATATCAAGAAATGTTGGCCCCTCCGACTAAAACGGTTTTGATTAAATTAAATGGTGAATGGCTAACCCTCAGTAAAGAGGAATCAAAGGCGTGGTTATGTGAAGTGATAAGGGAATCGGAAGTCCAGGAAAGGAGAATATCAACGATCTTAGGAAACTGCAATCTAAGCGATATGCTAGACGAAAACCGTGAGTTCGGACTTATAATGGACAATGAGTTGCACACAGCAGTTGGTGCAAACGATGTAAAATTGGATCGAAGGGATGAACTGAATTCATCATTCAGATTACGTGACGAAATTAGTCATATACCACCAATTGAGGATGGTGTCCATTCGTCCGAATTGGATATAAATCTGCTACCGCAAAGTTTAAGAGGAGACATAGTTCACACCCCTGAACCCGGGCAATCCGATAACTGCCATGGTAATACAATGGTGCACAGCTTTGATGTAACTGCCATTGGTAGGGTCAAAAAACTATTGACCAGTCCAACATGTTTCATTGGGGGAGAATTATGGTCTTTGGGATGTATTTGCGACTATCAACATCGAAAAGCACCGCAATTAAGAATATCTCTTAAACGCATAACGAGTAATTCATCATCATTGTTCGCCAGATTTACAGTGGTACTCAGTGGAAGAACCAAATCCCGAAAAAACGAAAATGAATTTTATTTTACCCCACATTCAAACTGTTACAAATGGAGTGATTCACGAATGAAGTATGGCTACATCTCGAATCCCGCAAATGGCTATGTGAACCATGACAATAAAATAACCATAACTGTTATTTTCCATCAGTTCATGGTTAATCGTACACCTAGCTCTGGTATTACTTCATCTCGAGAACCAATGCGCTATACACCAAATACTGAAAGCGAAAATGAAAGAAGTTTGCACAATAGAACCGATCGATATGGTGTTGATGGCGACATACATATAGTATTGATTAGATTGATTTTAACAATAATAGTTTTTCTTTTGTATATTAGTGTTGCCCCATATATATATTTATATAAAACGTGTACGATGTCAGCTCGTAAGACGTTTGTCGCAATACTCTGCATTTTTGTAATTTTTGTTCAGATAGAAAATTGTTTTTGTTAATTGTAAATTGGACGATGTACATATTTAGTTACTGCTGCTCTAGTATATAATATTATTTATTGTATTTATTCTTTAGTATAATGTATAATGTATAATGTGGTCATATATTGTCGTTGCCCTCGAGCGTCCGTCCGTCCGGCGTCCACGCTCTAGAGGCTAAAGTTAATATCCACTTGAATTTATACACAGTGTTTAAGATCATGAGACGAAGAAGTTTATTAATTTTCAACGATTTGCGATAATTACCGCAAGAGTTATGGCCCTTGGTCACTTTGAAAAATCTTTTGGACGCTGTCCAAATCTTTTCAACGATTTCTGATAAATGAGTTGTTACTCGTAATCATATTTTAGTGTATTATAAATGATTCATTACCACCAAAGCCAAAATATGCAACAACTCATGTTGACTGCCCGGACGATTTAGCTGCCGTGAGTGTATGTTTCGTTGCCTGGCAACCTATCTTTAATTATTTTAACTTAATTAATCTTTTATTGTACATTAATGGTGCCAATGATGGGTTAATACCGGTTCAAATATCCAGATATAATCTTTTTAATTTATTCAAATTTATTTAATCTTTTATTGTACATAGAATTATTTATTGATTGTGAATATTGTAGATTGGTATACTTATTCCTTTTTGAACAATTTGTTTCTAAAACAGTGCCAGTGGTATAGTTTGTGTTCATTGATTGGTCTGCAGAGTTCGCTTGTCAACCAATCAAAACTACAAAACGAAATAGGTACACACATGGGTTATGAGAATCTACTTCATGACAACCAAAGCTTGGTCGTATATAGAACGATTATCAAGACATAATTTTACAGAAAACCCACTGTACCCCAGTAGCAATTGTAAATAACCTAATAATGCGCGCCACGATTGCTTCGTGAATATGGTACAGGCGCCACTACGCGTAGAGAAATACATAGAAACTTTATAGTCCCATGGTACCCTCGATGCACATATTTGGCTTCCACAGTATTGATATGTCTCATGGGTGACACCTATCGACACGTCAACCAAATCGCTGTTCAATTGACTTAGAAGTTCAAATGTTTTGTGTAAACGAAGACATATTTTGATGGTAAAATAATTGAAATAAAGGTAATAAAATTTTAATTGATGTGTCTCCATTTTATAAATATACGTCTCATCCTAAAAAATATTGAGAACAGAAAAAAGGTGTTTTTGAGTTCATAGATTGGTTAGAACCTGATCAGAATATTTTCATTTTCAGAGTATTTCAGAGTATCTGAATTTCTTATATATTTAGTACAAACCATCATTTTTGGGTCATTCAAAGTAAAGGAAGCCACTGAAGCTGTTTATCTTGATCTATGTCACTATTATTGCTCACAACATATCAAATATTACAGTTTAATAATCCAACATTATCTGTAACATTCAATGACTTTTAAATGAGAAACAGCCACAAAAAGCAACGCGGCTAATGAAGATGGGGCTAGACAACATGTCTTGCCATATGACATTTTACACAGACAACGGCGTCTGTAGGTTAGATATGGGAAGTAAAATCAACCAAAAACTTCTCACATCCCACGTGTGACGCATGATCTCTCCTCTGCTACATATTTTATTAGAATTGTGATCGTCTAGTACTAGTATTGCCTCTGGTTATATTTGTAATTTTCTTCTTATGGCTAGGACCCCTTTTCACGTTGTGTATTTTCTTCTTACTATCTCAATAGTTAAGACGTTTATCTACCAGGAATAACACTGCAACAGTTCGTTTCTGCATTCTATATCAAGCACTGGATACTTAGGTTACAAGCTTATGTCACATTGGAATACTTAAAATTAACATCTTTCTCTCCAACCCCTAATTCACAGATCGAGTTTACCGGTGGAACACACAACATCATATGGCTCTCCTACAAATCACTCAGATGGTGTCTCTTGAACATCAGCGGTCCATCCCGAATCTACATGATCCTCTCTAAGAATCTAACGGCTATCTATCTAAAGTCTATAGGATCAAAATCAGTCATATAACATTGACATTGTCCTTGAGACAGCTCTGTCAATTATTTAATTGGACAAATATTACGTAATTAATTATGACGATTGCTTACTAAGCCCCATGACGTCAAGAACCACCTTACATGGACAGTAGAAACTTACCACCAGAAGTGTCAGACGGGTTACTTTGCTATTAATCAAGAATTAAATGTGTATGAAATTATAACTGTTTTTATATATTCTTCAAAAAAAGGTAGGCGATATTCAGAAACAATACAAAACTTCGGAAATGCACTGCTTTTTTTTATTAGAGGTAACCAGTGTATGTTAATAACAGGCCATTTGGCTGCACATGAACATAAACGGTTCATATGGGTGGCTTATCTGACGGCCCCATTACACTCGCAAAGAGATACACCATCAAAAGTGAAAATGGACGTTTTTGATTTTTGTCTTAATAATGAGTAATTGCTCCACCAATCCTCGGACATTCAGCAATTCGTCGTGGCAATCTGACCCACTCCTCTTGCAGTGCCACGGCCAATTCTTGCAGTGTTGTCGGTTGACGTTGACGTTAACGAACACGTCTCTCGATCAAATTAAACGTAACACACTAAAGCAAAGATATGCTAAACCCTTTCTTGAATCGTCAAATTATACAATGAAACCCTCCCACGTCTATGGCGCTATTGCGTGCGCATGTGTAGCTCAGTGGTTCTATTGGAGCAATAAGTTCTTCATCTGTGAACATACTCTCAAAGCATGTCAAGTGTCCATGACTATTTATCATAACACAACCTACATAGGTATTTGCATTTCAATATCCCCTACTTTTTTTGAAGATTATATAGAAACCTACCACTCATTTAATTTGAGTGCGTGAGATATAATTTCCCTATAATTAGTTAAAGCCACAGTTAATATAATGCTGGTATTAATTTAAAGGGCAAAAAGTTCTACCAATTTTACTACATGTGTACTCGTCTTCATCTTCATTATGCCGGGCTAAGTGGGTAAGACTCTGGCTCGCTAGCCTGGAGGTCGGGTGTTCGATCCCTGCATTGGTGGTTTCCCCTTTTTAGAGGTGCAGGACGGAAGGCCTGTCAAAGTCAGCTGTCTAGTCGTTCGGATGGGACGAAAAACCGAGGTCCCGTGGATACATTGGCATGCATGTAAAAGACCTCTTGGCAGGTGAAATTCGATATAAGAGTAGTCCATAGTGCCGCTGCCCGGGCAAAATTTCCCTCATAACACACTGTATGGCGTATGTCCGTCTTCATTACCCCGTTGGAGCAGAACAGTAGGACGTTAAACCCCATTTCATTTCATTTCATTATCCCGGGTGCACAAAATTAGACCGTAAAAATCCAGTTTATTCATTCACGGACAGCACCTCAACTTCAACAGTCATGGGTTAGTTTTACGTGCACGCTAGGGTGTATATGGACTCTGGGTTTTCGTGCCACTCGAACGAGTAGATACTGTTGCATTTAAGGCCCTGTGTCATGCACCGCTGACAAGAGGAAACCCATCGCGCCGGATCGAAACCCGAGATCTCGAGGCTAGCCATAGTGCCTTACTCACCGAAAAACTGCTGCTATAACACTAACGCCATTTTAAGTTTTCACAGTGGTGGTCTGAAACCTGAAGTCCACAAATGATAGTTATTTCCCTTGTTACTTTCCTTTTCTATGGGGAATTCCCAAATAGTAAGTTAGTCAAAGACTGAAGCATCCACAAATTTGGAGTCGCCACGTTGTAAGTAATGAATTTGTTTAGTTATAATATTCATATTAAAATTTATCATTCATTCATGCCGTGAAGGCGTCACAATTTCTTGTGTTGTATAGCATAGTAGGTAGGTACGAAGTCGATTATTGGGTGGATACGTAGTTATGACAAGAAACAGAAAGCTTCAATGAACGAGATGTAATTTCATAGGCCTACTTTTTATCCTTAATTTCTCCCAGAACTGTTTCATGCTTAATTATCATCAAAAGTATTCGGAGAGCGACAGAGAAACGGGGTTTAACGTTCACTTGAAACAAACTAGGTCATTTCAGAACTGTCATATGGTTCAATTTTATTTCAATAATTCACTTCCGTGTATGGCTATAGTTGTGGGAGGAAACCGGGGGACCTGGAGAAAAAGCCCATGCGGTTGGACAGGCGACCCTACTCCTCTATTGAAATAAAATTTAACAATATCATCCCAGACAACACTCGATATTGGGCACATATACGGCCCATATCTGGCAACATCTGGCAAAATGATTGGACCGGATATGGCATACCACAACTGGGTCAAATCAGGCATATCTCGGCCGGACGTGGCCCAGTCAGAGCCAGATCTGACATGCCACCTGTGAGCCAGAGGTGGCACAACTGGCCCAGACCTGGCCCAAATATGTCCCACACATGAAAATCATACCATGTCAGATGTGGGCCAAAGATCGCAACCTGAAACCATAGGTTGTTCCCCGTACTATCCCTTCTTAAAGAGGGACGTTGGATAGTTTTGGAAAACATTATTAGTTGGTCCATGATTTCTTCTAATTTGATGGGCTTATTTTTTCTCTCTGTGGATTAATTTGAATTCTGTTGATGATTCACAAGTTGGAACCATACCAAGGCAAAAGAATAGTTAAATGAAGTTATACAAATAATAAAATACATAAATCTTATCTAATTTAAATAGAGAAAGTCTTTAACTCTTTTCTGTGGCCTGCATTGTCTTCCGTTTCTTGTTAATAATAACTTCTGTTAAATTCAGCCAATGACCAAACAGATTTCAAGATAGTAAATTGGATTTTAATTATGCTTTGTTGAAAGGTGCGCACGGTTGACCCGCTGGCTTCAACAAATTGTATAATTTGAGTACAGAATCGCTATAGTAATTAAAATCTAACTACTTTGTAGCATGATACCCAACAGACGGACTGTGTTCAAATAAACTTTGTCTTTATTTCATTGACTTCTTTTAAGAATATATTTACATTTGCTGGCTTTGTTTGGGGGGTGGGGTGAGAGGATTCCATTCATATTATATACATTAAAGGGACAATAACACTCTTGCTGGCTTGACAGCTCCAGTAAATAAATATTAGCCTTATTCTAAGTATTAGATGTTTAAGTGTTCTACCTGTTGTGTAAATTATCCATTACATCCTATTTTACTTGTCCAGAGGGTTTGAAAATATTTTTAAATCCAAGTCACATTTGAAAAGGTTTACGTTTGGCTTTTCAAATCATTTAGTTGAATTTTTCCAATTTTTTAAATTAGGTGGGTTAAGATGAAATTTATATCACCGATTAATTGTAGTATTGTAAAATAGTACAATTTGTTGATCAGAATAAAGATTGGGACATATTATTCAGTTACAACAAGAGTGGTATTGAGCCTTTAAAGAAAATATTATTCTAAGACTTTATGTTTTTATTCGTAATAAAACTAATATAGAACACCAGGACCACAGCACTCAGGAAAATTCTGCTGGAAACTAAATGTCATATTCTGAGCCAAAATTGATTCGGTTGATATTTTGAGGCATTTGGCCAGTTGGATGTGGGCCATCTCTGGCCAAAACTTGGCAAACTTCTCGCATAATATTATTTTTTCAAATGTTTTGAATATAAAACAAAAAATTTAAAACCTTTTAACTAACCGACAAGATATTCTTAGATACCATTAACAAAAATAAGTTTAATTCATCAGTAGTGAGCCAATAGTTGCAAAGTGTTACCCAGGCTTTGGCCCACATATGTAGCAACATATGGGTCACATTTAGCCAGATGTTTCTATATGTGGCCCATAGTAGGGCCAAAGCTGAGTTGCTGGCTGAGATAGTCCGGAAGTTAAGTTGATGCCAATTTAATTGGACGTTAATCCTCTTAATATGTTGGATATGAATTATATATACAAATGACAGGAACAGAATTATTCCTTTAAGTTATGGCCATGGTCTACTTTGAAGCCATCTGTGCACCATTTGATAAGATTGACTGTTAGTGGTCTAAAGTGATTACAAGTTATGGGTTCGATCCCAGGGTTTGTTGGTTACCAGAAGGGGGGGGGGGGGGTCTCGTGCCTAGTCTCGTCATTGTTTACCCGGGGGCTTATTCACAAAAACTATGGGATATTTGATAAAGAGTTGACAGTTCTCGCTAAAATAGTTTAAAAAATATATAACGTAAAAAGAATATGCTGAAAATTTTAGTCAAATAACTCCACTCTGAACCGAGATATTAGCTTTTGAATTTTAGCCTAGCCTCGATCAGCATTACTAAAGTCGGTACGATAAAAAACAAAGTCTCGATTTTCCAATTTCATACGCCCACATTTTCATGTGGACGTATATTATCGTCGCCCCTGCCACCCGGACGTCCGTGCATAATTTTTTGTGGACACTCTACAGGTCACAATTTTGATTTCCCTAAGATCTCGGTTCCTTTCGATATTGGCATGTATCGGACCGTAACTTCATGGATTATGGTCCCTGATTGTACGAGAAATCACGTTCTTAGCTTGTGGACACTGTCTAGGTACCGATTTTGTTTAAACTTGAAATGTAAGTTTATATCCCACAGGTCTCGGTTCTTTCCGATATCCGCGCATATCGGACTATAACTTCCTGAATTATGGCCCCTGATCGTGTTTTCAGTTTATGGACCCTATAGAGCTCAGAATTTTTATCCGATTAAAAAAAAAAAAAAAAAAAAAAAACCGTTCAAATATATCACCGTTACACCTTACGGATGGTTGAGTTCGAATTTCGTGAAAATCGAACCGAAACTCCTGATCAAAATGGCCGCCGCCCATTCGAAAATAGTGTAAAAAAATATGATATATCAAGGTTGTGGACCCTCTAGAGGTCAAATTTTGAGCCGATTTCAATGAAACTTGAAATACAGGTTTATAACCCAGAGAGTCCCTTGCGATATTCGTGCATACCGGAACGTAACTTCCTGAATTATGGCCCTTGACTGTACGAAAAAAATCACGTTCTTAGCTTGTTGTTCCTCTAGAAGTCACAATTATTATCCGATTTGAATATATCGCCATTACACCCTAATGATGGTTGACTTCGAAATTCGTGAGAATCGGAACGAAACTGTTGGGACAAAATGGCCATCGCTCGTTCGCAAATAGTGTAAAAGTATGGTATATCAAGGTTGTGGATCCTCTAGAGGTCACACATTTGATTCGATTTTGATGAAACTTGAATTTAAATAGATGTTTATTACCCAAAGATCTTGGTTCCTTGCAATATTCGCTCAGATCGTCACTTCCTGAAATATGACCCCTGTTTCTACGAAGAATCGTGTTTTTAGTTTGTGGTCCCTCTTGAGGTCACAATTTTTTTCCGATTTCAAAAAAACCGTTTGATTATATCACCGTTACACCCTAATGATGGTTAAGTTAAAATTTCGTGAAAATTTGACCAAAACTGCCAGACAAAATGTCCACCCCTCGTATGCAAATAGTGTAAAAAAAATATGGTATATCAAGGTTGTGGACCCTCTCTCTAGGGGTGACAATTTTGCTCCGATTTTGGTAAAACTTGAAATACATGCGCATATCCGAACGTAATGTCTTGAATTACGTCCTTGATTGTACGAAAAATGCCGTTTCTAGCTTGTGGACCCGCTAGAAGTCACAATTTGCATTCAGTTTAAAAAACGTTTAAATATATCACCGTAACACATCAGTGAAGGTTGAGTTCGAATTTCGTAAAAATCTGACCGAAACTGCCGGACAAAATGGCCTCCCATTGTACGCAAATAGTGTAAAAGTATGTAATACCAAGTTTTTGGACACTCTAGAAGGCACAATTTTTATCCGATATTGATGAAACTTGATATGTATGTTTATAATCCAACGATCGTGCTTCCTATTTGCGCATATCGGACCGTAACTTCCTGGATAGTGCCCCTGATTGTACGAAAATCAGGTATTTAGCTTTTGGACATTCTAGAGAACACAATTATTATTTGATTTACAAAAACGTTCGAATATTACATCATAAGGATGTTTGAGTTTTAATTTCGTAAAAATCGGATTGAACTACCCGACAAATCTCTTGCAAGATGTGGGTATATCTTTCATGGCAACCGCTTGTTACGTTTAATCATCGTTCTCAAAATGTATTTAATCAGGTAAATATCGCAGGCTAGCGATGGCATCGATAGTTGATTATGGTATGCATAAGTTAATTAATAATATTTCAGGCCTAAAGAAAGACCTGCAATAGGCAGATTTAGCTCTTGAATAAGATTTTGTGAATTAGGATCCCGGTTTCTTACATTTGAAAATTTGTATTATTATACCATATGTGGGTCTCGAAATCTCACGTGGACGTTAAGCATCCCCCCCCCCATTCACTTTAAGTTAAAGATGCATCGTGTAAGAGCTAAATCTGCCTATTGCAGTCCTTTTTCCAAGATTTATTCACATGACAAACCATAACAAGCCCATAATACACCCGGATGACCGAGATTATAAATGGATTTAAACAAACGCGGCGTCATTTAATAATTTCAAGTTTAAATGGATAATCAATAGTTTTATGTATCATCAAATCATCAATTGTTTCGATGGCATTTAGTAATTGAAGTGGAATATACAGGTCACAATTCTATGGAATACAATTACTGCTTATTACTAGGCTTCTCTAGTCAATATCATTGCCCAAAACGTCGCTGAGTTATAAGTAGTAATTGTTTTCCATAGAATTGTGACCTGTATATTGTTTATTATCGTAGCAATGGTGCTTGGCAGTCAAGACTATCGAAGTTAAATCTTATCAAAGCTCAAACATCCATAACCTCCATCAAAATAGAGAAATTTGACTGAAATTTTCAATATATTCCTCTTTTTTTATTATCCATTTTTAAACTATTATGGCCAAAACGGCCACCTCTTTATCGAAAAGCTACGCAATGCGTTTAAAATCTAACCTCTAAATCAAATGTTTTTTTTCTTAAACCTCAGGTAATTTGAAGAGGCGATGATGAGTGAAGAGAAAAGGGTGACAACCAGCTCGTAAGATTTTATATATTATATGGTATCGTCTATAACAGTTCTTGTATTAGATTCTGCTGTAAACAGAGATTAGAGTAAACATGGCCAACGAACCTAACAGCTTCAGTTGCAGCATATGTCTTAATGAATATAATAAGCCTAAAATAATTAATTGTTATCATACGTTCTGTGAATCATGCCTGGGTGATTATGTAGCCCAGGCCGCGACCAACAACAAGTTCGCCTGTCCACTGTGTAGAATGGAAATCACGGTGCCTGATGGAGGAGTCAAGGATTTCTCCGCGAACTTTTACATTACAGACACACCCCAAGTATCTCCCCAACAACCAGTCGAAATTCAACAGACCTCTAGACATATGTGTACTCTACATTTGAGAGAAAGGGATATATTTTGTTGTAATTGTTGCGACGCCGTATGTAGCGAATGCTTTTTATTTGGACATCCCGGCCATTCCAGAGAACCTGTTCACGATGTTGAAAATATACTGATAAGAAAACTTACACAGTTGAGAGAAGATATTCAGGCTAATATTTTGAAAGATCAAGAAACTGTGGCCTCTGGGACAAGGATTCGGAATAAGCAACCCTTCAAGAAAAAAGAATCAAGGGCATGTCTTTCTGTAAGGATAAAGAGAAATGAAGCCCTGGAAAGAAGAATATCAAAAGTCTTGGCAAACCACAATCTGTATGAAATGCTAGACGAAATCAGTATATTTGGACTTATATTGGGCAGTGCTAGAAATGAGTTGAACACAACACATGTAGTTTCTCATCCAACAGCGGATACAAACCGTGGTGAATTGTTGGCAGAAGACAAAGAGGAACATGCTACAGAATCCGACGAACTGGATGAAGGAGATGATCTGAATTCATTAGTCAGATTGCCTGGCGAATATAGCCCGAATGTACGAACAGAGGATGATGGTGGTCGAGTATTCGAATCAGATGAACCGAATTATAATCTACAACCAGAAGATTTAAATGACAACTCTTCACATGGACCTGACATTAGCGACCAGTATGATTTATTGGACTTCCCTGTACCCAGACAAATCATTTACTTTCATTGTAACACAATTATTCAGAGGTTCGATATAAATGTCCATGGCAAGAAAAACAAATCGTTAAGCAGTCCAACATTTGATATTCTAGGCGAATTGTGGTCTTTGGAATGTAAATACGAAAATCGACATCAATGTCGAAAATCACTTAATTTAAGAATTTCTCTTAAACACATGTCAAGTAGTTCATCATCAATACTCGCCAAATTTACCATGGTACTAAATGCACGAAGAACCGAGCCTGTGGTAAATGAAAATGGGTTTAACTTCACCCGGCGTTCAAATATTTACCAATGTTTTAATTCACAAATAAGACATTCCAATTCAATCACCTTAACTGTAATTTTCCATGAAGTCCAGGTTCCGTCTAGCTCGGGTATTTATATATCTCGAGTCCCAGTGGCCCCTACTCCTATTCATACGGAACCTGCAGGACTTTTGATTTTGTTTGTATTGGGTTTGATCCTGATAAAAATTCTAACCTGAACAATTAGAATGTGCACGAATTTGAGCTTTTATTATTAATAAAAATGAATTTCTGTGATGTCCGACATGAAAGTAAGAGGATCATATAAAAGAGTGCTCGGAGTTCATGTGCTTTAATGGAACGTTTCAGTCACTTGTGGATCTTTACTCAAATATGACGTTTCAATGTGTGCAAAACATATCGTGATCCAAAAGATGTGATTTGTCGTGACGAAACGGACCTCTTCTAATGACGTGATATGGATAACCTAAATAACTTTTATCTAGTTCAAGGGCGATAAACCGGTGTTAGCTCGGAGGTCTCAGAACTGGTTAGATCTGGTTATCCCAGTAGTAAAGACAATGATGTAAATTAGTTTATGTATTTAATATTGTGTCTATTTATTAATCACTGGAGTCCTCTAGGTAGTTTAGGTATAAATGAAATACAGCGAGATCTTACTACAAAGGTTAGTTAGAATACAGAAAACATAGAGTGGTTTCTCTAGCAAACCTGCCGTGACTGCCAGCGGTGAAAAACTGTTAGTAGTTTTTAGAAATGGTTCTTGGTTATATTATGGAATTTGTGGATATCAAACCACGAAGTTCAAATTTTTAAATTCAAAGTTGTAAATTTTATAGCTAGCTGAATTCTTATTTTTTGTAGTAACTATGTAATGCTGTAGTGGGTGTTTAGAGCCATTCTGGTTACCATAGTATTTTATTCATAAATAAATGACGTGACAAAGACTGCTTGTTTATTTACACAACGTGAAGTCATAATATGGCTATCTCAGGTAACAGCTAAAAGGACCGGTCATAATAATATTAGTAGTAAACACTAGTCAATCTTCAGTGATCAACGTTAGCGTTTCAGAGAGAGAGAGAGGGGGGGGGGGGTAACTCCAAACGACACAAAATAGGTCATTTCGGAACTAACATATGGTGCAATTTTTATTTCAATAATTCGCTTGCAGGTAGGTGTCTTCAGACGTGGGAGGAAACCACACATATTAACTGCCCTTAACGGGTTTCGGTATCTGAATATGTCCATAGAATATGGGTGTATTACACGAGGCAATTAACGTATGTATGGTCATTTAGATGGGGCTAAACACTACGGGTGTTCACATTGGTGGACACATAAAATAATCCTTGACAATTCTAAATACAGTAGGTGGAGATAACTGAAGTATTCAAGAGAAGTCATATGGAGTCAAAACTGAGCATGTTATCTTCAGTACCGGATCGATAATATATACCGGATCGATAATATATAATTATTGTTTATAATTAATGTTAGCATAAATTATGTAGTTTATTTCGCCAACATAAATTTTACTATGGTTCAATTTTATTTCAATAATATCAATAATTCGCTTGCGCGTAGTGGTCTTCGGCGGAGAAAAATCACGTCAAATTGTCACTTAATGCACCCGTCAGACGGGGTGGCGTCCTTACTGCGCTGCTGTTACCGTACGGCGACCAGTAAATGCACAAGGTTGCTGGTTAACGTAAACACAACACGAGAAAATGTCAAAAACTATTACAAACTTTAAAAACGCCGCGTTCTAACTACTTTCCAGGTCGGATCGCAAAACCTTGGTGTTTGTTTTGAACACACTCATTTACGACCATGGAGACCAATGAATTTTATCTATGTACATGTAGTTATCTTCGCCCTATGGAGATTATAGAAAAGGTGAGATCACCACTATACGGTGTAACAACATAGAAGTAAGTAATACTTGTTCAATCCTTTTTTTTAAAGTATCACCCTTTTCTTAATTTAAAGTATATGAATGTCGTTTGAGGGATAGTGTTCATTATTCACAAAGATATAGGGGATGCTCGATCCACAGTTCAGAACGTTCCGAGTTGACAGAATTGCAGTCGAGTAACGCGGAATTCAGTCCTGTTACAGTTCGGTCAGCCCCGACTACGGAGATGGTGTGAGTAGAATTAAACACAACGAATATCTTTCGGCTGCATGGTTGGTTGAGATATTTACTCATCCAGTCGACGCATGCGTTGTAGCCCGAAACACCCCTTTTCACTCGATTGTCACTTGTTTGGGATTGAGAGAATTCAATTCCGGAACGATCAATCGAGTACCCCCATAATTGTTTGAAAATTTGTCAATTCAACATTCAAACTTCACCGTAGTCATTGGGTGGGGTCAGCAAACAAATAGTGAGTACTAGCGTTAAAGTTTGTGTCAGCAAAAGAGTAAACCTGAGCCCCTTAATTTGATGCTTGGGTTAGAAAAAAAATTACACTTTGTTTTTGAAATTGAAACAAATGGCCATTTGAAAGAATGCGTTTGTTATATTAACGTATTAGTATATAACTAGTGGATAATTCCTGTGAGAAAAGCAATTTTTTTTTAAAACATATAGTTCTTTACTCTTTTGATGGGTTGACCTCAACCAGATTTATAACATTCTCTTAACGTTGAATTACACAAATGAATTGGATCGAACAGTAGTGTTTCCTCAATCTGTTCCCAATACAGTTTTCCCATTTTGTAACATGGGGTCCAGTAGTACAGTAACTCAGCCGCTCATGGATGCAGACACTTTTTTCCAGGTCAAGTGTTACCTAATTTCATGAAATTTTGCTAAAGGTTTGCCTGATATTACCCAGGATTAAACGTATAACAAGATTCATACAACTCTGAGATTTCGTGATGTCGATAAGCGAAGGCCCCGTTTAAATTTATTTCTGGTAACACTAGTCTTTTCTTGAGACCCTACTATGTACTTTTATCAACAGTTGGAAAACTTTCCAAGCTGTAATTTTGCCACCCTTTTTGTTGGACACTTTATTTATGGTCAAAAGTTAGGAAACGAGTCACAAAAAAACATACCTCAACACTGCTCTTAATCTCACCAATTGTATTTATGCACACAAGTGAAATTTATTACCTAAATAAATATGCAAAAAATTTTGTTTAACATAATTTGTTCCCCATACACTAGTGGAAGCATGATCCCGTTGTGTCTTGAAAATCATGTTTTTGAAATCAGCTTTGGGAAAATGTTACGATCGTTATGTCTGAATTTCACAATTGGGCCTTGACGATTAACCACAGCGATTGGTATCAAGAATTCTGTAATTGTCAATGAGACGGAAGACATGATAATTGTATCACCGTCCCTCAACCATTAGTCGATCATTGCGAACACGTCAGCACACTAATGATGTAAGGTCCGTCAACGTTCTGGTAGATGCCGCTCTTTTGATTTGAAACTTGTGCGATGTCATCGATTTAACGCCAAAGGGAATGTTTACCTCACCACCCCCTACCCAAGAGAACTGTTCGTCAATCAACCACTCTTGTCATGTGGAGCCACGCTAGCTAAGTCGATAAGACACTCGCTCGCTAGCCTGGAGGTCGCGTATTCGATCATTGCATTGGCCGAGAAAGTTGATCGGGAATATCCGACGTGCTTCCTCCTTGTCAGTGGTGCAGGTCAGAGGGCTTAACAAGGACAGATGCCTTGTCGTATACATTGCCGTGTACGTAAAAGATCCCTTGGCAGTTGGAATTCGATATAGGAGTAGGGCAAAATTTCCCTCATGGCACACTACAGGGAGTATGACCGTCTCATTATCCCAGTCAGATCAGAACAGTAGGACGTTAATCCACATTTCATTTCTCTTGCCACGTGACCATAAAGCTGCGCGACTAGCACGGTGCTTGTTTGTGACGGTTATGGCGACATAGGACCATGGCATATGCTCATCCTAGAGCAGATTCCGTTTGGTGGCTGCATTTGTTATAAGGCTGCAAGCCTCCACTGGTAATGGAGGTAGTCTAATGGATAACGGTAACGACGAGGCATGCTGAACAGGTTTGTAGTGTTTCGCTTTGACATTCCGCCTCTATTTTTGAACTCGAGAGAATCAATAAATCATCAATTTAAGTTTGTTGTCTTCCTTTGCTCGTTCAATTTTTCCCCAGGGCACTTCGGGAGAATTGAATGCTTCCCGGAAAATGAGAGAGGGAGAGAGAGAGGGAGAGAGATGGGGTATAACTTCCACAAAGTAGGTCATTTCGGGACTAACATATGATTCAGTTTTATTTCAGTACTTCGCGTGGGCGGAAACCGGAGGACCTGGAGCAAACCCACAAGGTTGGGCGGGCGACCCTATTGCTTGCCGCGTACAACCAGGAAATCGAAGCCACGCAACATGACCCAAAGACAGACTTTACGATACAACGCGCGCACGTGAACCCCCCCCCCCCCCGCACCCAAAAGAGCAAAAATATATATGATTTTCTATATATCACATAATTCTTATTTAATAACTAATATTTATGATTGTTTGATCTAACAGTTATGCCCGTTCTGAATCACCTATCCACAATTTAGCACAGATTTAGTCCTGTAAAATGCTTGATATCATTCTACAAAATGAACTGTCAACAATCCTCTTATATAACTGAAATGAAAATTTTTTGTTTTATTAATTAAATGTTCAATGTTTATGCGGTAAACTACAAATACCACATAGAGGTTTTAATACAAAACTCAACAGCAATAAATCCATCAATGATAACCTATACACTCACACAATGCTTTGTTATCATAAAGGTTATCTAATTGAATTGAAGATATCTTTATAAACCAAAGTCCACATATTAATTCATGGGGTATTATACCGTCAGGTGGCAAAGGGTTTAGTTCAGTGGCTTTATTCTGAATTACTATCTAGCCTTTAAATAACTTCATTTTAATTTGTTTTTCTAACTTTAGGCAATTTGAAGAGACATGTTGCTGGCTGATTAATGAAGAGCGAATGACGACGGCTCCTTTGTAAGATTTTATATATTATCGACAATATAGAGTTCTTGTATCACGTTCTACTATACATGGGGAATAGTGTAAAACATGGCAAACGAACTGGGCAACGCCAGTTGCAGCATATGCCTTAATGAATTTAATAAACCTAAAATAATTGACTGTTATCACACGTTCTGTGAATCATGTCTGGGCGATTATATAGCCAAGGCCGCGACCAACAACAAGTTCGCCTGTCCACTGTGTAGAAAGGAAATCACGGTGCCTGATGGAGGAGTCAAGGATTTCTCCGCGAACTTTTACATTACAGACACACCCCAAGTATCTCCCCAACAACCAGTCGAAATTCAACAGAGCTCTAGACATATGTGTACTCTACATTTGAGGGAAAAGGAATTATTTTGTTTTAATTGTTGTGAAGCCGTTTGTATCAAATGCTTTATATCAGAACATTCTGGTCATTACCAAGAAACTGTTCACGATGTTGAGAATAAACTCATTGTAAAACTTACACAGTTGAGAGAAAATATCCACTCTAACATTTTAAAACACCAATCCATGTTGGAATCTCTATCTACAATGGCTCTATCTACACGGTTTTGGCTATCGACATCTGTAAGGATAAAGAGATCTGAAGCTCTTGAAAGGAGAATATCAGCAGTCCTAGAAAACGCCAGCATACGTGACATCCATGAATTCGTACGGATAATGGACAGTTCTAAAGAGTTGAACATACCAAACGGGGATGTATGGAGGGGGATCCTCGCCAAAACTCTCAATTTGTGAAAATACATTTGTCGATTTGTGAAAGTACATTTGTTAATTTGTCAAAATACAAAATACATTTGTCGATTTGTCAAAGTACATTTGTTAATTTGTCAAAATGCAAAATACATTTGTCGATTTGTGAAAATGCATTTGTTGATTTGTCATACAACAAAAATACATTTTTTCATGTGTGAAAATACCTGTCTAACCTACAAAGCACAAATTTTGAAATAACACAGCTTAACTTTACAGTTTCAAGATATGTAATTTCAACATTTGTATTTTCAAGATATGTAATTTCAACATTTGTAGTTTCAACATTTGCAGTTTCAACAGTTGTATTAACGACACTTGCATTATCGAGCCTTGCATTAACAAGCCATGCGTTAGCGAACTATGACCATATTTGGGTTGATGACGTTGATCATTAATCCGGAAAACGCCGAGTTTGGTCCTGCAATGATGTCTCCCGTCTCAATAAAAATATCTCTTCTTCGGTGGAGTTTTTCAAGGGGAACTACTCTCATTATTTCCGTTCTTCAACATGGCCAATGAACTTATTCATGAAGTTAAGTCCCGAATAGAGGGAATTTGCAATTTGTTAGATACACAAAATTTTCAATCGCTTTCAGACATCATACATGATATACATACAGTAGCAGGTATTGTCTCAGATTTAATGTGTTCCATGCCTTCCACGGAAGAAGACAGTATAACGATGAATGGATTACAAACTTGTTTATTTCATATTCAAAATGCTGCAAATTTAATCGAACGAAAGCAGGCCAATGAAGTTATAACTGGATCTCTCGGACATTCATTGTCACCAGGACATACTGGACGACCATCAAAGTTAGTTCCATTTGAACAGCTAGAATTTTTGGTTTCTAATGGATTCAAATTGAATGACATGGCCAATTTATTTAATATTAGTCCCAGAACCATGAGTCGAAGATTGCTTGAATATGGTATTTCATTAAATGAAAAATATAGTCATATTTCCAATGATGAGCTAGATGAAATAGTAATTGACCTTCTTAGTAACTTTCCAAATATTGGGTATCGAAGTATAAAAGGACACCTGCACAGTAAAGGACATATAATTCAAGAATACAGGGTTCGTGAATCGATGAGAAGGGTTGATATAGAAGGTGTTCTCTATCGTCGACTTACTTTAAATCCAGTAAGACGAAGAAGATATTCTGTTCGTGCGCCAAACTCATTGTGGCATATAGACGGCTATCATAAATTGATAAGGTTAGTATTGACTCAATTACAGGCAGGGGCGGACTAAGCTTATTTATCAGCCCAAAGAGGGACTAGCAGTGCATGGCGTTGTATGCCGTGAATATTTGAAAATTCAATTGCTGGATGGGGGCCTGGTGTGGCCGAGTGGCTAGGACGCTTGCCGTTCATGGTGGGGGTCCCAGGTTCGAATTCTGGCGGAGATCGGGTCGACCTTGTGGATTTTCTCGACTGGGTTCCCCCTTGTCAGGTGGGGAATGACATGGAAAAGCGTTCTAGTCCATTGGATAGGATGAAAAACGGAGGCCTGTGTTCACTAAGCTACGAGAGGGCATGTTAAAGTCACCTCGGCAGTTAAAATCGGTAGTGAGAATAGGGTGTTGCCGCTGCCTTAGCAAAATTTACCCTCATTGCACACGCTTGGCAAATGCCCGTCTCTAGTTAGCCTATAAATTAGTGCAGAAAAATGGGACGTTAATCTCCATTTCATTTCATTTCAATTGCTGAATGTGCAATCTTCGCTTTAAAACTGACTATTAACATGCATAAATTTTTGAAAGGCCCTTTGGGTCGGGACCCAACTGGTTTTGGCCAGGTGTGTCCCCCTCCATACCTGCTTACAGGTGATATACCGTTTTGTAATGTAAGCTTATAGAATTGATTTAAGAGTCTTCGTACTGTAGTAATCATTGTTGATTTCTGACTCCTGTTAAGTGAGTTCGCTTACTCAAGATAATTAATCCAAAATCCATATTTGGATTTTTAACACCCATTCGAAACCAGCTATTCAATATCATTAATGTCAGACTGGTTTATGATATATAGGCTTACTGTATTTGTATGACTAGTATAATATTTTATATGGGTTGCATTTTTCGAAACACGATGGAATGGCGGTTTGTCAATTACCGGTATATTATATATTGTATCTTTAACATTAACTCATCGCAGTTCAGTTTGATTAGTGGTAGCTGAGTAATGATCATTTGTATATTTTTTCCATATCTTTTAAGCTGGCACTTAGTTGTTCATGGAGGTATAGACGGTTATTCTCGCCTCCCTACATATTTAAAGATTAGCAACAACAATAGAGCAGAAACTGTTATGCAAGCATTTAATGAAGCTGTTCAAAATTATGGATTGCCATGGAGAGTTAGATCGGATAAAGGGGGCGAGAACGTTCGTGTTGCAGAATATATGATAAATTCCAGAGGTTTTGGAAGAGGCAGCCATATTACTGGAAGAAGTGTCCATAATCAGAGGTAAATTTAGTACGTCTGCATTAATATGTTCGATTTTATGTTATACATCTGTCTGTTCGCATTATCCTTTGAATAATAATTTTCAAGTTATGGTCCTTGATCCCATAAAAATATGCCAAGTTTAAATGGTTTAAAATCTTGATAGTTAGTCAGTGTGAAGCATCATACAGAATGCCCGTATTATTGTTTGGAACATGTTTCAGACTTCTTCCACTTGACTACAGTATTAAGAGGTTTCAACTATTATAAACGATAATCAGCAGTCTTCGTGCCATTCGAGGGTTTTCATTAATATTAAAGATATGTGCAGTTTTGCGTTAACCAATGGATATGTAACATTTATCACCTAATTAGAATTTTAAACTTGTGATCGTATATTAGCGTTCAGAAAACGAATGTCATGTTCAATATTTGATACGATTCAATAACAATCACCAGAGTTACTGCCCTTTGTTTTTAATCTAGATTCCAGAGTTTTAATGTGTCTTTGTCGTCATCAAATGTAGGTAAAGTAGTTTGTTCAAAAATCAAATTATGTACCATTGTCTAGACTTTGCTAAAAACATTCATTCTGTGACTTTGTGTGGTTTCATGAAAGGAATGTTGACAATTTGTTGCTCTGGTGTCATTTTCAACAACCTGTTCATATTTTAACAGTGAAATAGATCATCACACTTAATTTTTTTTTTATTTCAAAGAATAGAGAGATTTTGGAGAGATTTGTGGATGGGATGCATCAGTTTTTTCTACTACCTTTTTTGCTACATGGAAGCAGAAAACACATTTATACCAACTGATGAAATACATATTCAAGCCCTACACTATATCTTCATACCAAGGATTCAAAAACACTTGAACGAATTTAGAGAGGCCTTTATCAGGCGATCTATTAGGACAGCTAATCAGAAAACGCCGTTACAGTTATGGATAGATGGTCAAATCCTGGATCCAAATGAAAATCTTGCTTCTGAGGTATATTTTCATTGATATGTTTATTCAAGAAATCCAGATTAATATAATCTTTCATTTTTTGACAGTGGTTAAGATTATGCCTAAAAATATTCAAAAATTGGAGGGTGAGATTTTGGGATATTTTAATTTCCATAGCAAACAAATGATTTAATCTGTTAATGATAAGATAGAAGTCTCCAACCTTATACACCCCAACAACTGTTATTATATCCCAGAAAGTTTCAAAACTTTTCGTTGAGAACTGTGATCTCTATCGTGTAAAGAAGAAGTTTTTATGGGCATGCACAATAACTAGTAAAATGAAACTTTCAACCTTTTCAAAGATAAGATACAACTTTTAAACTAGCATATTCATAATCAGTGACCTCAATAATATATAATTAATTGCTTGCTTCGTCAGAATCAGATGATTTTGTGACTTGACCTAATTTTCGCCATTTTTATAAACAATTACAGCAACTCTGGTCTCTATCACGTTTACAAGGTTTCGTGAATCAAGGTCAATAACTCTGGAAAACATTGAATTTCGATAGGCTTCTTCCTTATGCTGGTATAAACAACTACAGCAAGTTTCGTTAAAATTCTTGTTTACAATATGAAATAAACTTATATCTTAAATAAACCTATAAATTCAATCCCAAACAGACGTTCATTAGATTTTAAATATTTTTTTATAGGCAGACTTTCAAAGTTACGGAACAATACAAAATGGTTTGATGGCATATGATGATGAACCAGAAAGAGTTGTTATTGGTCATTTTCCTATATCTTTAACTGATCAAAAGATGGAAGAATTGATGTGCCAAATAAATCCTTTATTCGATTCAGAAAATCAGGGAATGGACTTGTTTCTTGCAACCGTAAATTTCATTTCTAATTATCATGAAATGAATTAGGAAATCAACACTGCTTTTTTTCAATTAATAGGTTTTTATTGGGTATTTCACCAACAGAGGCCCAGTTCATGCTACATACATTTTCAATTCAAACCAAAACCATAAGCACATACAATTATGTTAATAAAAGCATTTTCTAGGAAATCGTATTCTTTCATATATTTCGTTTGGTTAATAGTAATAGATGGCGCACATGTATTTACTGTAGTGCAGTTTAAATTTTCATGGTCAAATAGTAGTAGCCCATCTCCTATATTTGGAGATATGGCAGGGCTACCAGTTGTTGCCAGAAGAAAATGTCCAGTATTCAGTTGAACATCATCTTCGAGATCTGTTTCCATATCCAACCACTGGGTACTGATTTTTCCACCTAAAAATATATACAAACTTGTTAAATAATTTGAAACAAAAGACCATCAAGAAAGTTAACATACGCCATACAGCAGTTTAACTTCAAGGCAGCTACTAGTCTTCTATGAAGGGCTGCCGCCTGCCGGCATTCATTATATTTTAGAATGTATCAGTAAAATATTCATAACTAATTTCCTAATACATGCATAAACTTTAGTTTGAGCTATTTTCCGATATGCACAGGTAATGGATCTCAGCGACAGGTGCATGAACATTTCGACCCTTGACGGAGGGGGATCCTAATATTACAGGCTTTTTAGATCCAATTAGATCGTGTAGGTGTTGTTGGTGCCGTGGACGAGGCAATGACATATAATAGATCCTTGGCACGGCATAAAGGAAATTGTAAAAGGGTTGGGGCTTGAATACTTATATACACAATCTGAAAACTGTTATGAGAAGCTTAAATTATCATCTCTATATACCGGTAGTAAACATATAATTACATGCATCTATCCCTTTAACAATGAATCATAACAAAAACTCATATGATCAGGTTCATAACTATGAAAAAACAAAAATATAAACTTTGCAAAATGAAATACTTAGTTTCATGAACAACAAGTTCTTCGTTCTTGGTTGAATTCTGCCAAAATTGTAGGTCGTCTTATCACAAATATTAATAATATACAAACGGCCACAAAAGAAAATCAACACACGATTTGTTAACACAGCAACCAAATTTTCAAAATATTTTCATCTGTGATTTTAAAAATATTGTTTCGTGTAATTTGATATTTTCATAGCATATAGAGGGTAATTTAAGCCGATGTGAATACTTCAAAAAAAATTCTGCAACATTTCAATTGACCTCCACCTCATTAACAGCACTGTACCATGTTCTACCATATGTCACTTCTGGAACATGAAAATTCGGTAAGGCATGGTCGCAAAAAGTTGTAAAATATACAGAATATATTTTCAAATTTCTTGTATGACCATCCCTTACGGGATTTTCAGTTCCGGGTGTGATGTGTGGCATAACATAAAAAAATGTTAAAGGTGTGCAGGACAAATGCAGTGTCAAAGAAAAATTTTGTTCAAAGAAGCTTTAAAAAAATTATTTTTGACAAATTTTTTTTTTAATGCAATATTTTATTCACATGGAAAAGGATCAGAGAACAGGCTAAAGGCTATGTGAGACTCCTCTCCCTAACAATTATTTCATTATTGGCAAAAAAATAAGAGTTTTTACATCACAAACTAAGTGACTTTAGAAGGCTGTCCTGTCAAATAATGTCATGAAAATGTTGTTTATTTGTGCTAATGAGATCTGCGTTCTGAATACCACTTTTAATTTTCTTACAAATTCAAACACTATTAACTCACCTCACTTACACAAGCATATTTACAAATAGGAGTAACAGAGGACAACTGCTCTGACTTCTGTCTCTTTATTTTAGGTAAATTATCTTCCTGAAGCTAAATTAAAAATTTTAATAATAATTCAATGAAGGCAAAGTCAATAGGTTATCACATAGTGAGTAAAAACAATGAGTTAACATGACATTGGTTATTCAGAAAACAAGTTAAAACGCTCAAAATGTAATGGTAGGCGAATAAGTCGATAACAGATGCAAAACAACGCAACATTTCGGAAAGTTATCCATTCATCAGCAAACAAAAATTATTATTAAACTAGATACAACTAACAGCAGAATCTAAATGTGACAGCCAAAACATTACTGGTACCACCAGTTTCAAGGGAGAACCCTCAAGTCAAATCATTCAGAACAGTAATATAAACAAAACAAATAGTAATACATTAGGTACTGGATAGTAAATGTGTTGAAATGTATTTAAAAGGTCAAATAATAAAATAAACATGAGAAAAACAACCTAGAAACTGGATTTTGCAAGTAATGTAGCTAACAGTTTTAAAGCTATGATTTGTATCATGAATTATGAAAAGAGGGCAGGCATAGAAAAGGTCTACAATATAATAAAACGAATTTGTGTTAATTTCATGCGGTTTAAGGGTTCCTAATCGGTCAATGATCTTTATTTCACATTGTTTTCTGTTTGCCGTACTGCCACTATATTATTAGTGCTATGGCTGAGCTTGGCTAAAGTGCATAGCTACAGGTTTTTATACGACCAAATTATGGTCCGAAAATATGGACGGACTAGTGCAAGGACAATATACGAAACAAAATAACATATGGGCACATAAAAATCATATTTCAAGATTATGCTTAATTTCTAACCTTTGATTAGTTTGCAATGCTTACTTACCTCATGAAATTCTTGTATATGTTTTCTCAAATTATTTAAAGGCACTTTTTCACCGCAATCCATGCACTCCTGTGTTATCATATCTGACTGTAAGTAAAAGATAGTTTCAGTTTTTATCCCAGAATATTATACATGGAGAAATCAAGACGGTATTATAGAGCTATATCTGAATCTCACAAATCTGATCAGAATAGGTTTATATTCTTTAAACTGTAAAACCCCAATGTAATAGAATTCTTGAATTATGAAACTCTACAAATTAAATGCTAATAATTTGACATTCACTACTCTATCCTATATTCAACCAAAAGTTTGTGTTTAATATAATGTAATAGACGATGCAGGTAGACTGCACAACACTAGATATATACAAGACATAACACACACAGTATATAATACAAGACACAATATACACAGTACATAAAAAGGCAAATACTCCCAGAGAAGACAAACAAACTCTACCAGTAGCAATCAAAATCACTTGACGAAAGGGCTGTGGTCCACGGGGTCTCCGTAAGCGCAAACTCAGCAACAAGTCACTAAACGTCAAATACTATTCGCTCCATAGGAGAGTAACATATAATTTTACAAAATATAAAATTATGATAACGAATCAAATATTAGCTGTCCAAAGTTAGAATTAAAGACTTTAAATTTATCCAATTTGTGATTGTTTATTAGTTTTTCAATTTGTCTGTGAAGTCTGCTGTGAAGAGCACCTTTATTTAAACATTTCTTATACAAAGAAACTAATTTATTTATAAAATTTGAAGACGGCTACATATGTTTATAAATCTAAATGTCTGAGAGTAAAAAACATTATATAAGGTATTTTCATTATTACTATTACTTTCAGTTGAGGGATATTTAATTACATCAAAAGGGAAATAATCTGTTTTGTCATATACAGTAGTATTAAAAGTACAGTCATCAATAGTGATATCAATATCAAGGAATGCAGCATGTAGATCTCCAGTGTTTTCTTTATTGAGTACAAGTTCAGGTGGATAGATTTGGTCTCTGTAGCGCTTAAAATTTCCCTTATCATTAATCACAGTTACATCGTCAATATTACGAAATGTGTTATTAAGATTGCGTGCAGTTAGTTAGTTTTACTCCTATCTTGAAAATCGAATTTGTATTTATGCAGGTTTCCATTTGCCATAAATGGCGCAGGATCAGTGTCCATAGGAAGGCCAATGATCTGTTGAATGATTTTATCACCTACTGCAAAAATGGTATTATCAATCAAATAGTGGATAAGGTAGCTTGCCAGGAATAATTTCGGAAAACGTTGATAGGCTTCTTCCATATGCTGGATGTATAAACAACTACAGTAAGTTTTGTTAACTCTGGTCTCTATTTAGTTTACAACAAATTGTGGGCAGATGGACAGGGGCGATGGCGTGGGCGTATAAAAAACTCGACTGTACATACCTGCATGCCTTTTGGAGTCCCACTAATAGTAATATCCAGATCTCTCTGTAAGGGTTTGATATATATGATGGCTTGTCCAATGTATGACTGTGCCAGAAAAGCACTTGTGTACCCTGATGGAGGGGGGTCAATAAACTCCATTATGGTTCTTCCTATGGCACGATTTAGATCATACCCTCCTCCATCTATCAATTTTGGATAATGTGAATATATTTCATTTGAAAAATACTTCGCATCATCATTCTTAAAAAGAGTTATTCTTTTTTCTCCCAGTCCAGCATCCTGTGTGACTTTTCTTGCGAACCGATCAGGGACAGTGTTCTAAAAATATATTAAAAATACATACTGGTACATAAATTCAAATAATAGCTAGAAATTTGTTGAAAATCTTAAATAATATAAATCATCTGAAATATAAGCTTACTATAATAAATATTATTCAAATGTTCAAATCTCATGATTTAGTTTCCTGGTCGTACTACCTAAGGTAAAAGGTAGTAACTTGCTCTTATACAATCCAATATCCAAACTTCACATTGAAATAATTTGATTTGACCGCATAATTCTGCGTTGTAGCATCTATGTCGAACCTTTCTAACTTCAGGTTGTAATAATGTCAAAAGGTAGTAACTTAGTGATTTCCTAATGTCATTTTTGACAGTTAATGCTCCTGCCATTGCAACTTAACTACAATGATCACAACCCACTATTACCCTGTATTAAATGTGATGTTTGTGGTAAAATGTTTGGTCAAAATCAACTGTGACATATGTATTACTATATGGCTACAAGCTATCACCTACTACCACATCTACCTAAACTATGTACCACTATCAATTGAATGTCACATCTGTATGTATATAATGTGTATACTGTTTTGTTTATTGTTAGTTTGTCGATGTTCTCATAACATACTATATATTCGATGTACAATGGGCCTATGGCCTTGTAGTATCTGAATAAAGTTATTATTATTATTATTCAATCGTGTCTGCATAGTTTTAATACAACCACCAAAGAACATGTCGTCTCTGTCTATCTTTCATTTGTCTGTAGTCCACAATGTATTGTGAACACATACAGAATTCATCCAATGTTTATTTTCAGAGTTCTTGCCCTTGCTGTATGAAAAATTCCTTGTGGACTGGGCGATGATGAGCCCTATTAAAATTCAGCTTATTCCAATATGTTCATTTATCATATAAATACTTTACCTGTGTGCAACTTGACACACAAAAAAAACGATGAGTCCATGTGTTCTGTCTACCAGTACCAGCAACTCTTTTATTACTTGTCCTCGAAATACTAGAATAGGGACAAAACAAACGGCGCATTTCGCTGACATTTGGTGTTGACGGCCCAGGTAATATAGTAGTAGGAGTCTGTGTAGTTCGAGATTTTTCTTCCAGTTCTCTGGCTGCCTGCCTAAGAAGCTCAGCAGTTTTCTTCAGATCATTATCTGACATTTTTATTCTGAAAAATATAAAAAAGAATTTTAGTTGGACAACAACACAACAGACACCCAAAACAAGAACATTTTCTCAAAATTAGACATTATCAAAAACAGAATAACCCTGTAAGTATTTTTGAAATATAACTGGACTTACACCTTAAGTGCACAGGCAAACTAAAGGCAGTAACTCTTAACGATTTTTATCGAATCACAACCAAATTCAAACATGACCTTCATTGCATGGAAACAAAGATACGTACGGTACTAAGAATCGTTAAGTTCGAATAAACAGTGTTGTCTAGAAAGGGGTATATATTCTTCCGGAATTCGTGGATGTTCATCCAGGAATAAAATAGGCCTGTCAGGGAAAAAATAGTTTTAAGGAAAACAAGCGGTCGCCATGCGATATACGCCCACCAGCAGCTTTGCTCAAGTAAGGTAGTAACTTCAATGATTTTTATCGCATCGCAACCAATTCGCACTTGATCTGCACTGTATAGCGATAAAGACACATAACAAGTTTCATTAAGATCGGACCATGACACATGCCAAGTTTCGTTTCCATCAAATGAAAATTGTAGACTCTTATCGCGTTCACAGTCTAAATTGGCGAAGTTTGTCGAAAAAATGGGCATAACTCTGAACGTAATTTTCGAATTGCACCAAATTCGAACTCATCCGAGATCTTTGGATATGCCAAGTTTCATTTCTATCGGATGAACATTGTAGACTATCGCGTTCACAAAGTCTAAATTGACGAATTTTGTCGAAAAAGGGGCATAACTCTGCAAGTAATTTTTATGTGGGCGCATAAAAACCAGTTTGGTTGAGTATTTCAGCAATATTTTTCTTTACTATTTGCGAAAAAAAAGAGGCCGCAGGGGAACCGGAAAAAAACCCCAACTTAATCCCTAGCTACCGACTCACAAAGTCTAAATTGACGAACTTTGCCCAAAAAGAGGCTTAACTCTGCACGTAATTTGTATGTGGGTGTATAAAAATCAGTTTGCTTGAGTATTTCAGGAATATTTTTCCTTACTATTTGCGAAAAAAAAGAAGGGGCAGGGGAAACAGAAAAAAAACCAACTTAATCCCTAGTACCCTACCTACCGACTCTATTTTTTTTTGGAGAGGAAATATTTTTTTTTGGAGAGGAAAAAGGAAACACAGGTATTTTTTTGGCCTAAGTTTGATTAATATGTTTGGATAAAAAAAAAATATGGCATCTAGTTTAGATAATAAATGAATGAAATGGAGTTTTTAACATCTCATTTTTATGCACTGATTGGAGTCTCTATACAGAGCACACAAGAAAGAGCAGACGAGCAGTAACTCTTGCAAATGTTAGGCCTATCAAACCCAACTTCATTTTACGAAGACAAAGATACCCTACAGGCTACATACAAAGTTTCATTAAATCTGGATAAAAACTCTCGCCAGTATAGACTAGACCACAATGCATATAAAAACAAAATCTAAGAAAATATTTTAATTCAAATATTAGTCAAAGTAGATGTGTGGATCTACGGTATTATTAATATTATAGCCTAAAACTACTACTATTTATGTGTCTGTTTCAAAGTCACAGTGTCACCCCAATTCCGCGAATTCGTGCAAATATCTTCAAATATAAATTTTGACAACAAAAACTAATTTCACCTGTATTATTGATATGTCTGTTGATATATGATTTTACAAATTAAAACTGTCTAAATTTACTAATTAAAAAATATTACTCTAGCCTATAAACCAATCTGATTCACAGAGAGAATTACTTACGAATTTGCCTATAAACTAGTTTCATTTGCTGTTTGAAGAACGGAAATAATGGGAGTAGTTCCCCTTGAAAAACTCCACCCAAGAAGAGATATTTTTATTGAGACGGGAGACATGATTGTAGGACCAAACTCGGCGTTTTCCGGATTAATGATCAACGTCATCAACCCAAATATGGTCATAGTTCGCTAACGCATGGCTTGTTAATGCAAGGCTTGATAATGCAAGTGTCGTTAATACAACTGTTGAAACTGCAAATGTTGAAACTACAAATGTTGAAATTACATATCTTGAAAATACAAATGTTGAAATTACATATCTTGAAACTGTAAAGTTAAGCTGTGTTATTTCAAAATTTGTGCTTTGTAGGTTAGACAGGTATTTTCACACATGAAAAAATGTATTTTTGTTGTATGACAAATCAACAAATGCATTTTCAAAAATCGACAAATGTATTTTGCATTTTGACAAATTAACAAATGTACTTTCACAAATCGACAAATGTATTTTGTATTTTGACAAATTAACAAATGTACTTTGACAAATCGACAAATGTATTTTCACAAATTGAGAGTTTTGGCGAGGATCCCCCTCCATAGGGATGCCTACAGTAAAGATTTGTTGACAGGAAACAAAGAAAAACATGCCACGGAACCCGAAACATTGAATCGAAGAGATGAACTGAATTCATTATTCAGATTACGTGGCGAACATAGTTTAAGAAGAGAAATAGTTCATACCAGAATACCCAGGGAATCCCATAGCCGCCATGGTAACACAATGGTGCACAGGTTTGATATAAACGCCATTGGTAGGATCAAAACACTGTTGAGCAGTCGAACATGTTTCATTGAGGGAGGAGAATTATGGTCTTTGGAATGTAATTGCGATTATCAACATTGCAAAGCCCCGTTACTAAGGATATCTCTTAAACGGACGTCGAATAGTTCATCATCATCTTTATTGGCCAATTTTACAATGGTGCTCAATGGAAGACTCAAGCCCCTGGTAAACATAAATGACTTTTATTTTACCCCACGTTCAAATTGTTACAAATGGAGTGATTCACAGATGAAGTATTGTTACATCTCGAATCCCGCAAATGGCTATGTGAACCATGACAATACAATAACCATAACTGTTATTTTCCACCAGCTCACAGTTAACCGTACTCCTAGCTCTGATATTGATTCATCACGAGCACCAATGTTCTATACACCAAATACCGAAGGCGAAATCAATCAGCCCATAGTTAAACGTACATTTAGCTCTGGTTTTATTTCATCTCGAGCACCAATGCGCTATACACCAAATACCAAAAGTGAAAGTGAAATCAATCAGCCCATAGTTAAACGTACATTTTGCTCTGGTTTTATTTCACCTCGAGCACCAATGCGCTATATTCCAAATACCGAAAGTGAAAGCAATCACCCCATAGTTAAACGTACATTTCGCTCTGGGTTTATTTCATCTGTAGCACCAATGCGCTCTACACCAAATACCGAAAGTGAAAGTGAAAGTGAAATCTATCAGCCCATAGTTAAACGTACATTTCACTCTGGTTTTATTTCATCTCGCGCACCAATGCCCTATACACCAAATACTGAAAGGGAAAGCAATACATCAAATACTGAAAGTGAAAGTGAAAGCAATCAGCCCATAGTTAAACGCACATCTCGATCTGGTAATTATTCATCTGGATCACCAATGCGCTACACACCGAATACTGAAAGTGAAAGTGAAAGCGATGAGCCAATAGTTAAACGTACATTTCGCTCTGGGTTTATTTCATCTGTAGCACCAATGCGCTCTACACCAAATACCGAAAGTGAAAGTGAAAGTGAAATCTATCAGCCCATAGTTAAACGTACATTTCACTCTGGTTTTATTTCATCTCGAGCACCAATGCCCTATACACCAAATACTGAAAGGGAAAGCAATACATCAAATACTGAAAGTGAAAGTGAAAGCAATCAGCCCATAGTTAAACGCACATCTCGATCTGGTAATTATTCATCTGGATCACCAATGCGCTACACACCGAATACTGAAAGTGAAAGTGAAAGCGATGAGCCAATAGTCTGCTCTGGTGTTATTTTATCTCAAGTACCAATGCGCTATACATCAAATACTGTTGTAAATCGGCGTAAAAGCAACATTGTCACAAGAAGTTTGCGCAAAAGGGGTTATAGTCATCAAATTAATCGTCAAAATGTTGACGGCAACAGACATACAATATTGGTTAGAATTATTTTCGAAATAGTTTTTCTTCTGTGTATTATTGTTGTAATTACGTCTTTTGTTTTTATTTTAAACAAATTGGTATGAGTGTCAAAATAGGCCTGAGATTGGCGTCTGGTATAAAACATATGTTTTTGAATCAGATGAATTTAAATAAATGCTGAAGTGTATATCATGGGAGTACGATGTTGTCGTCACGCTGTCGGTCTGTCTGTTCGCCGATCCGTCCATCAAACATTGGATCGTGAATGCGACAGAGCTACCTATTTTGACGGATGCTTTTCAAATTGGGGCCATGGGAGGACAAACCCTATCGATATTCACCGCCGCGCTAGCTCCCGTTCCAAAAACTGTGACATTGGCTATAGTTTCAACAGATTGTTTGTTTAATTTGCCGAACACTGTAGAGATCAGATTTCTTGAAGTCATATAAAAGTTACTTATTAAATTTGGTCAACCTGCAAGTTTTCATGTCTGATAAGCTGCTGCCTGTGACTATTTCTACATGTTTAGACATAGTTGCTTTGTGGGCTATCTTTCTTGACGACTTGCACTTGAGGGCAACGTAAAGTGACAAAAACTGTCACAACACCTGAAATGGGGGATCCTCATCAAATCATTCACAACACATTTAGTGCCTTTATTTTGGTGTCTAAACGTGCTTGAGATGATACTGAACGATAAAAAAATGGATGAAAATCAAAAATAATGACCTTGGAATTGGTAACTTTGGAAAATATGAAGCAAATATACGATTGAGCACTGCGCAGATCATTTGGATTATATGTTTCGGGTCTGTATGGAATATTGTAAATACTGCATCACCACTACCTTGAAACTGCTTTTGGATTTCAGCAATTTTTTTTATAATGAATACACATTGTTATCATTTGTATTACTTCATAATTCAACCCTGACAATTAAACATTGAACATATTTACTAAGTTTTACAGTAAAATAATTTGTTATAAATTTTATTCAATATTTATCCACACTCAACACATTGTTTAATCTTAGATTGTACACTAATAGTCCACTATTGAATGTGGAAAGGTCCAGCTGAATGATTGATTGGAAAATATGACGTGTTTCAAATGGTACTCCATAGAAATGAATTTGCCCCACAAAAAAACATATCTAGGTAACAAATTCTATATCAGACCCTCAAAATGATTATTATTCTAACATAAATGAATAATAATCTATCCAAAATTTAGAAACAAGCCTTTTTGCTAACATTTACCAACACTTGACAACGGCAGCCATGATAGTTTAAATTTTGACAGTTCTGTTTTCATCAATTTATTGAACGCTCTATATGAATAATATTGATATTATAATTGTGACAGTTCTTGCAAATGAAGCGCAATAGTCTATAATATTACGATTTACCACCTGATGTAAGGATAATTGTGATAGTATAAGCCAAAAAGTATTTCCTGCATTTTTATTTACCTTTCTGTGTGGAATTACCGCTCAAAGGAAGTGTTGCTCGCGTCAATGAGTTCATGCATGACTTATTTTTTTTAATATTATCAAATCCCGTAAATGACACCTCATTTGTATTTTGATATGAATTAATCGCATTCCGCAGTTGTTTAAATTGAAAAAATTAAAAATTTGTATTGTATTTGAAATTAACACTTTGCTCATTGATATTAGCATAAGGTCAAGGACATACCAGATATTCGGACACGAAAGCAACCTACGAAACATTGTTTACATTTATACAACAGCGAAATATGTTATTACTAAAGAGAATACGACATAATTGTGTGTAAGGTGATGTAAATGAAACCTTTGCATATCGATACAATGTTCCGCTAAGGGTTGTCAGTTTAACGATTATTCGCTTCACTCGTCTAAAGATATGAAGGGTCATTTTCAAGATTGAAAAGGAAAGTGGCGAATCCCAACCTCGTGGGAGCAAGGACATGGCAATCTCACACTAAAAGGAAATAGGAAAGCAACTCGAAAATCTAAGACTCGACTACTGTACTACATAGATCAGAGTATAAATAGAGAGATAATAGCTGCCCCCAAGTTTTATCGTTTTGTCTGTAGGTGTAACCGCGATGGGGCAAGAAAGTGATGAAACTGAAATTTTCGTTTTCGTGATAACACGCGGATGTACGAATTAAAGGGGTATTGACAGTGAAATAGTGTATTGTGAGTAATAGAGTTTATTTTGGACGTTTGTATCCAAGAGCCACTATTCTGTGTTGGGAAATAATATCTTCAGCCTTGTTGGTGATGAGACTACTCGTCGCCTGAAAACCAAAGTGTTCTATGTCCACTTTTGGTAAAATTGGAGTTATTGCCCTTTACCGCCAAATTAGGCTCTATTCTATCTATTTATGAAATTTTTAGCCTTAAATATGAAAATAGAGGTGATTTCTCAACAATTATCACCGTACTATCTCCACTTTCTTAGCCCTCTATGAATTCTAGAGTGTTCTATGTGATTAACCAATGACGAATGTCAGATTTGTCACGTTACTTGGAGATAGTATAAATTGGTTTTGAAGTTCTGTTGGAGGGAAAGTACAAACGTCAGGTAACAATATTTGATTTTTCTTAACATCTATCTGATGTTTCTAACACTTTTCATGCCTATCAAATCCTTTTGATCCAAGGATTTGTACTGATTCTTTATATTTTAATTTACTTTAGACATCTGTGTTAAAATGATGCATTTGTTTACTTATGGAGATAGAACACTATGGATGTGAAGTATAGAAGAGATAATAATAAGAGTTGCAATACACATAGAACAATTATCAATCATTTCATCTTATATATCAATTAATCTACATTCCAAACTGAACG